TCCATTTTGTAGAAACAAAAGCTTATAACTTGACTTTAAATTAATCGATTGGTTTTAGAAATGTCTCATATGAAAGCTAAAACCCTCCCAAATTATGCTCAATATACTAAACTAAATTTGCTTCACTGAAGAAAGATTGATCATTTAATGAACACAGAAAGGTCAGATTTTGGCAAGACAAAAGTCTTGTGGCCTTGTCATATGATGCACCCAATCCTAGATTACAGCCTCACCTGTGATCAGTTACTGATCAATCAATTAGTGGGTGTGTATAAAAAGAACCCCAGCACACCAGACCTTCACATCAACTGCAACTTGACCTCTGACAACATGCCTAAGATCCACCCTGAGACCAAAGCGTTAATTATCAAGAGGCTGAAGACCAGATCCACTGTTGAGGTGGCTGACACCTTCAATGTGTCTCAGTGTCAAGTACAAAGAATAAGAAAAAGATCTGAAATGACTGAAGATGTTTTTGACAAGCCCAGGTCCGGCAGACCCCGCAAGACAACTGCTCGGGACGACCGTTTGTTGATTTGAAAATCCAAGGCCAGCCCCTTTTCCACTGCAGCAGACTCCACCAGGCCTGGTCACCTCAAGTCCCTGTGTCAACCAGAACAGTTTGTAGAATTCTGTCTCGAAATGGCCTCCATGGTCGAATCAGTGCACAGAAACCAGCACTAAACAAAAGGCAATTAAAAAACCGTGTGGCATTTGCCAAGGCCCACAGCCTGTTAAAAGGATGGACACTGGAAAAGTGGCAGAAGGTGGATTTCTCAGATGAATCCTCGGTTGAATTACATCACAGCCGCCGCAAATATTGCAGGAGACCTACTGGAGCCTGCATGGATCCAAGATTCACCCAGAAAACAGTTAAGTTTGGTGGTGGAAAAATCATGGTCTGGGGTTACATCCAGTATGGGGGTGTGCGAGACATTTGCAGGGTGGAAGGCAATATCAATAGCCTAAAATATCAAGAAGTATTAGCTCCTCTTACATTCCCAACCATAAAAGGGGTCAAATTTTGCAGCAGGATGGTGCTCCATCGCAAACTTCTATCTCGACATCAAAGTTTCTCAAGGCGAAGAAGATCAAGGTGCTCCAGGACTGGCCAGCCCAGTCACCAGACATGAACATCATTGAGCATGTCTGGGGTAGAATGAAAGAGGAAGCATGGAAGGCAAAACCAAAGAATCTTGATGAACTCTGGGAGGCATGTAAGACACTTTCTTTGCTATTCCTGATGACTTCATCAACAAATTGTATGAATCATTGTTGAACCGCATGGATGCAGTCCTTCAAGCTCATGGAAGTCATACAAGATATTAAATATGGATCTCACAGCACCACTACTTCATTCACTGACGTTATGCAACATATTTGTATATTTGAAGTAAATTATTTGTTCAGTTTTCTGTAGGTGACAAAACTTTTGTCTTGCCAAAATCTGACCTTTCTGTGTTTATTAAATGATCAATCTTTCTTCAGTGAAGCAAATTTATTTTAGTATATTTAGCATAATTTGGGAGGGTTTTAGCTTTCATATGAGACATTTCTAAAACCAATCGATTAATTTAAAGTCAGGTTATAAGCTTTTGTTTCTACAAAATGGAAAAGCGACAAGACACTTGTCAGGGACTGTATATATATATATATATATTTTTTTTTTTACACTACATTCATGTATAAACCCACCAGCACGCACACACACACGCACACACGCACACACACACATATTAAATTAAAAAACAAAAAAAAACGTAAGGTTCGGTAGAGTTAAAATACATACAGCTGGCCCTTCCAACATTTCCAGATGTCAGAGTAAAATACAGTGTCACTTTCCTTAATATTAGTCAAGCATGTTATAATTCCATTTCTTGATTCATTTAACCTACACATAAATTTACACATGAGGTTCCTCATTAGAGCCTGGAACGTGGGAATATTTGCAGTAACAAACAAAGCACTTGCACTTTCCCACCTTGGAGTCTTTAGCATTATTCTTAATCTTATTCATCTTTGCTTTGCTGTAATGACACCATAGGTGATCTGTATACAAAAGGAAGAATAAAGTAAAGTACCTTTGAATCTCAGTGATGGAAAATGTATTTAGTTACAGAGCACTGAACACTTGCATTAAAATTTATTTTGCAATGTAGTTTGATACATGGTCCAATCAGTGTACTGTATTCAGAATACTGAGATTACTTTTACATCAAGTTGCATTTAAATTATAGAGTAAAAATAGGATTAAAACAGCTTTATTGTTTCATTGTTTGTTATGTATTTATTTATTACTGATCATAGCAGGAAAAATCACACATTCACTCACCACAAGAGCAGTGTTGTATATTTTAATTATGTGCTAAATTGTGTGATGAAGTACCACCATGTATCCCTTTAATTTTAAAATAGTATCTGTATTCTGAACACCAGCAAATGAAAGGTAACTGTTCCAGAATACAGTTAGCCAAAATTTGTATTCAGAATATGTATTCTGGGTACATGTATTCAGTTACTTCCTAACACTAGTGGTGGAAAGAGTACTGAAAATTTGTACTCAACTAAATATACAGTTAATACAGTGACTAAAAATGAACTCACTTACAAGTTATCCTGCCAAGATTGTACTTAAAATGCCTCTGATGAATCTTTAATTGGCATAATACTTGCTATGAATATAAATTGTAGTTTTACAACAAGAAGCAAATTTTGAAGAAAATTTGACAAACATTACAGAAAGTAGAACCCTCCACATTGATGACATTACACTAGGGAAAATTCTGTCCAAAAGATTAGCATTACTCAATAGAAATAAAAAAAATAAAGATATTTTCTTATAAATTAATTAGTCAAATACTAGTTTCTGGTCTATAGTAAGTTATCTGTTTGTTTATTTGTTTGTTTGTTGTGTTTCATACATAGACTGTATATATCATTTTTTTATACAGTATATAGTTGTATATGCATTAGGACAACACATATTAATCATTGTGCACCAGTAGCTTTATCATAACATAACAGACACATTTAAATTTGAATGTATTTTATTATATTGAGAATATTGCATAATTGAACAAAACAGCTAAACACAAAATACTCAAAATCTGTTTAAAAAGATGCACCCTTTCTTCCCTTGCTCTTTTCTTCCCACCTTTCCTCGCCTCCTTGCCTACCTCCTTGTCTCCTTGTTGTGGGAGGGGTTCGCCTCAGTTCCACTCTTTATGGTTCTCATCCTTCAGCGCGTGCCCAAGAAAAGTCTTCAGGAACTTCACCCCAAAAAACTTCAGAAATAATTAATTAAAACTACCAAACAAAATGGTAGTAATTTAAGGAATCAAAGCAGAACAACAGCGGAGAATGGAAGACTCATTTGGACTTTTACACGGAATTCTGTTTGGATTTCTCTGGAGTTTTGTGTTGCACCTGATTTCCATGAGCTGAAATTCAAGGTAAGAATGTTATTTTGTGTTTTTAGATTTGTTTAGTGAAAGTTTACATTTTGAGAAAGTAGAAGCACGTGGAGACTAGGAGCGTGTGCGGAGGCGGTGCGCCCTGCAGCAGCGACCCGACTCCGAAACACACGAGAATGACTAAAATAAACTCTAAAGATTGATCGTGCACATTTTTTGGAGGAGGGTCTGTCTCTATAGTGCACCATTAAAAACGATTTAAAAATAAAGGCACTTTGAATGAGGTATTTTAAGGCACATTTTACAAACGCGGGTAATACTCGGGAATGAAGAGCGGCTACGGAGCGAAACGTTTAGGAGCAGCGCAGGAGCAGGTGTCCAGTGTAAGGAGCTATTGTCCAATAATGTTTTTCAAGCCAAAGTATAAACCTAAAATTAGTGCATAAGAGTAAAAAAGTATTTGTTGGACATTCTATCCAATTTACAACTTTCAACTGTTTGAACGTAGCATTATTAGGCTACGACATGATTTAGTTGTGGTGTTACCAAACACTTGAAAGGTTTAATAAGAGACACTAACTATTTTTCTAAAGTCTCAGGGAGAGTGAACAGAATATATCATTGGATACATAACAGCACAGAGCTCAAACTGAAATAAAATTAATGACCTGTATACAAAAAGGTCATATTCGTGGATGTAAAGGTGTTTAACGCTGCGCCAAAAATGTGCTGTTTGGATTTACACACAGAACGCACTGGAGGATACAATAAACAGACAACATGTAAACTTAAAAATATACATAACTTTGAAATCTTGGGCAAATGTTTAAATGTGCTACTATAGTTATGAACGGTTCTCAGTTTATGTTTTGTCCCTAACATCTGCAGAGGGTCAGGGATCATTTCTGGCTCCTGCTTTGTAATATTGTCCAGTCTGAGGACAGTTCACATGTCAGTGGTCATTCACACTGTGGTCACAGCTACCCAGGGAGAGACAGACAGGGACAGACTGACAGAGTCTGAGCCTTTTGTCTTGCCTGAGATCACACTGACTGGACCAACATAGTACTCATATGGGTAGCGTCAATAGTGTGTAGTAATAGCTGCAGTAGTAGCTGTAGCAGTATCCATAGTAGTAGTAATAGATTAGTAGTAGTTGAAGTATTATCAGTCTTAATTGTAGTTCAGACGAGTACACCGAGGTCGTAGTAGGACAGAGCAGTGTCTTGCTCAGATAAGGTGGGAGTCTGCCTCTGTCTGCTATGATAATACTGTCTGCGTTGATAAAGTACTGCTCTGGACTACTTTGAAGTACTGTTAAATATTCTGTGGTACTGTGAAACACTGTAGTAAACAATACACTACAGGGTTCAGGCTTCAGCTCCTCCCTGCTCCTCTGGCTCTGCTCCTGTCTGCTCCTGTCTGCACCTGTCTCCTCCCCTGGCTCTGCTTCTCTTTGACAGTGAGAGGAGGTGACAGGAGGCACAGAGGGACAAACTCAGAGACAGATGGGACAAAATGGAGAATTCATAATTAAATGTTTTTAATGTTAAACTTTAAAATGATTTGTTTCTTTGGAGCCTAAGTCACTTTGTTTTAGGTCAAATTTGAAACTGCAACTTTATGTTTGAGTCATCAATGTAGTCTTGGTTTAGTCCTAGTTCAGTCCTGGTTTGGTTCTGATTTAGTCCTGGTTTAGAGTTGGTTCAGTCCTTGTTTCGTCCTGGTTTAGTCCTGGTTGTAATCCTGGTTCACACCTGTTTTAGTCATGTTTTTTTGTCTTGATTTAGACCTGGTTTATACCTGGTTTAGACCTGGTTTAGTCCTGGTTTAGTCCTGGTTTTGGTTTAGTCTTGATTTAGACCTGATTTAGACCTGGTTCAGTCCTAGTTTAGTCCTGTTATAGTCCTGGTTAGTCCTGGTTTTTGTTTAGTCTTGATTTAGACCTGATTTAGTCTTGGTTCAGTCCTGGTTTAGTCATTGTTTAGACCTGGTTTAGTCCTAGTTTAGTACTGGTTCAGTCCTGGTTTAGACCTGGTTTAGTCCCAGTTTAGACCTGGTTTAGTTCTAGGTTTGTCTTGGGCCTGGTTCAGTTATCTATGCCTGTTACATTAATATTATAACTTTACAGGATATTTTAATTTTATCATTATTCACTTCATTCACACAAAACTTTTCTCGTTATTTACACTCACAGTACTTAACAATTACTTTATTACATTGTAATTTCAGACAGGGCATCCATTTTCATATTTAATTTTCTTGTCCTGACAAAAGATTTAACATGTGTGATATTAAAGATGGATCAGACATCTGCGACCTGCATAATTCACATTTAAACAAAGAACTGAACAACAGAGCAGAGGAGCAGAGGAGAGGGTCAGAGGAGCAGAGGAGAGGAGCAGAGGCTTTTAAATTGTTTTATACTGTCGTTTAGATGTCGTCGACTCTTTTCTCCGACTCTGAAAATGAGGAAGAGCACTGCAGCCAGTCACAGGCCGAGGATCAGCCACATGACCCCCAGACAGAGACAATCACAGACCAGCATTCCCCTGAACCTGAACCAATCACAGCAGAGCATTTACCAGCGCCACAGCCAATCAGAGCAGACGCCTCGCAGTCACATTCAGAGGCAATCAGCTGTGAGCCCTCCCCTGAACCAGCCGACCAATGGGACAAAACCACGCCTCCAGGACAGGTGAGTAACATGTTTCTAGGTGACACCACAGGCCAAGATATAGGTCAGATCTGTGGAGACAGGGTTCTGAAAAGAACTGAAATTCAAATACTTGATACTAAAATTAATATTGAAACTAGAAACGCTTTTGAGCAGCTTTCAGTACAAAATGTCACATTCACAGGATAGAAATGACCCTTTCCTGAACAGCTTTAGAATGATCTTAAACTGTATAGTAACATAAAAGAAAGTACTACCATTTAATACTGAAAATCACATTCTATTGTCTAATTATCAAGTCTGTGCTGTATACTGAACTGTGGAACATTCCAGGCAAAGCGCTAAAATCTCCATAGAGACAAGCATGTAGCAGACCTTCCAGAAAAGTTACACAGTGCAGCTTTGAACTGCTGCTGCTGCTGTCTTTTCTCTAAATAAAATTAAACCATTCCTGTATTCTGTCTTAGGTTTCTGGATGTGTCCGAGTTCTATTTAAGAGTAAGTCTAGACCTGAGTCCAGGTCTAGACCAGGATCTGACCCAGTCTCACCTGCACACTGCCCTGTGGCCTCTCCTGAATCCACCTGCTCCTCCTACAAATCGAGAACCTCGCTCGCCATCACAGAGAGCCGGCGCAGCAGTCTGGCAAATGTGGTGCACTCCCTCAAGCAAAAGAGACTGGAGGAGCTGCAGCGCCACCACCTGGACAACAGTGAGTCACCGGTCTCTCCCTGTCGCAGAATGGTCAGTCTGTCTCCTCTTCTCAGGGAGGAGGATGTGGTTTAGGACTAAATCAGGACTAAACCAGAAGTAGACCAGAACTAAAACAGGACTAACCCAGGTCTAAACCAGGACTAAACCTGGACTTAATCTCGGCCTAAACAGGAGCAAAATCAGGACCAATCCAGGACTAAACTAGGAGGAGGAGGTTGTGTGTTAGACTCCTAATCTCTCTGAGTGGAGAGTGCATGTGTTACTGTTGCGGAGGGGTTATCCCTGTCTTCTCTTCTCAGTGAGGAGGTTGTGGGTTAGACTCTTGTCCGAGTCTGGACTCTGATTCTAGATTCAAAAACCTGAAAACCCTTCAGTATGTTTGTTATACATGTGTGTTCTCCTTCATTATACGATCTGTACAGGGGTTAACGGGCCCTGGTGCATGATGAGAGCTGTAGTCTTCGTGCGCCCTTCGACTTTTTGTGCCGTGTGCTCTGCCCTGCTGCAGTGCATCATGGAAACTGTAGTCAACTGTCTAAGGTGGGCCTGAGTTGCCCTGGTGTACTCTGGGAGCTATAGTCCAGTCTGGCCCTGAGCTGCCCTGGTGCATTGTGAGAGCTGTAGTCTCTTCTCTCTCTGAGCTGCCCTGGTGCATTCTGGGAGCTGTAGTCCTTTCTGGCCCTGAGCTGCCCAGGTTCAAAGCCTCTTTAGAGACTCAAACCTTTGTTTTTGCCCCAAAGACAAAAGTTTAAATAAAACTTCTCAGAGACACAAGGAATCTCAAGGAAATACTAACTCCAGGAAAAGACCAGGAAAACATGAGGAACATGAATGTGAAATTTACAAAAACATCAGCAATGAAAGATCAACAGTCTACTCTGACAAAGCAGGTTACAGTTCTACTAATGATTACAGATACTGTTTAAAACTGGGTTTAGATCTCTCCTTGTCTCCTCTCTCCTTGTCTCCTCGTCTCCTGCCTCTCTGTTTTCTTTGTCTGTGTCTCCTCTCTCCTTGTCTGCGCTCTCCTCTCCTAACCTCTCTTTTCATCTCTCCTAACCTCTCTTCTCCTATCTCCTTGTCTCCTCTCTCCTTGTCTCCTTTATAGGTCATAGAGATGTGTCCTCTCTGGTCTCCCAGCTCGTGTCCCTGAGAGGACAGTTGGCCATGTCTCAGGAGGAGCAGAAGAGAATGGCCGCCGCTCAGAGACAGAAGCAGAGACAGAGTCTGGAGTTAGCACGAATCCAACAAATACAGGTACTTCTACTATTGTACTGCTGCTACTACTGTAAACAGTCAACTACTATTCTTCATGTAAAGAGTAATACTTCTATAGGCACAACTCATCACATTCCTCAAGTGCAATACTCGCTGAGGCAAAATGAGTGAATGAAAAACATGTTTACGATTATGATTACAAATGACTCAAATAAACTAAAGTAAAATATTTTAAATGTGTGTTTTTCAGATAGCTCGACAGCAGCAGCAGCTTCTGCAACAACAGCACAAGATCAGCCTCCTGCAGCAACACATACAGGTATAGTAGTAGTACTACTAATATACTACCTCTGACTTGGACGGTCAGACTGGTGATGACCACTTATGAACACAGGATGTGAGTGGATAAGCACCACATGTAAACATACGATACAGGTTAAATGTGGCAATATTCTGTAAGTTATTACAGTGAATTCAGCTTGAACTCTCTGAGGGCAGAACTCTTAATGTTCCACTGGGAAATATCCCACCTCCCAGATTCTGGACGGTAGCATGTTCAAGAATTTTCTATGGCTACTATAAAATTAGCAACTACATTTTTAAGATTGTCTGAAAGCTCAAGAAAAAATACTAAATTTTAAACTGGGTTTAAGTTGAGCCTGGAGGCTCATGTTAGATTTGAAAGTGGTTCTAATAGTATATAACTGCCTATATACTTTTATAATGGCATTATCTACTGTTCCTGGTGCTTATTTTTGGCAGTTTGAGTGTTAACTCTAAATTTGCAGCTTTCTGGTCAAAACCCCTCTTTTGTATTGCCTTCACTAGCGTCTGCAATTTCAGGTACTACGTGACATCACACAGGACTGCCCTGATTACAGCCAGGTGTTTCTGATCATAAAAACCTGGCTGCAGGGGCGGAGTTTAACGTGGGGATACCTATTGGAGCAGTTGTTAGCTTCACTCTACCAGGGAATAGTGATGATATCAGATGCAAAGTATCAATACTCTTTTTTTCTAGTTCATTTCTGACCTGGTACAGTCTTGTGCCTGGTTTCACATCACATTGTGTATGTGTGTATGTGTGTATGTGTGTGCAGGCGCAGGGTCATATTACTCCTCTCATGATGTTTCCTCCAGAACAGCGCCCCCTACAGCCGCCAGCCCTGCTGTCACCTTATAGTGGTCAGTATTACACAACTCTCCACTTAAACATCTGCGTGAACCTGGAATGAAGCAGGATTAACTAGGACTAATCCAGAACTTAACCAGGGCTAAACCAGGACTAAAAACATGACTGAATCAGGACTAAGCCAGGTCTGAGCTAGGATTAAACCAGAAAAAAACGGAACTGAAACAGTGCTAAACCAGGTCTGAACCAGGACTTAACCAGAACTGAACCAGGACTCTTGTATCTGTGCCTCTTTCCTGAGCTCTTGCAGGTGTGCTCTCTCAGCCATCTCCCTCTTCACCTGCCCCTCACCCTGGGTCTCTTGGGTCTCCCCGAGACTTGGTTTTGTGTGGTCATAGTCCAGTCCTAGTCTTGTCTGAACACAGAAAACCTTTTAGGCCCAGCAGGAGTCCAGCGCCTCTCACTGTGAAGACCAGAGCAAGTTTGTCTGAGTTTAACAGAAGCTGCAGATTGAAAGAGGGGAGAGAGGGGAGAGGGCCTCCATCAGCAGAGCTGCACATATGCAAGAAAATGTCAATAACTCTAGTCCTGGTTCAGCCCTGGTTCAGCCCTGGTTTAGTTCTTTCCTATTGGACACTCTGCCACTTGCTTGTCTCCATGGAGATCTTAATATTTCACCTGTAATGTTCCACACTATGGCATTAAACATATTTATCATTCATTCTGTTGCAGATACTGTTATTGCCACAAAAGCATTTATTTGAACAGTGGGCAGAGATTGATAGATTTAAAGCCATATGCTGGAACGTTCTAGGCAAAACATCACATCTCCATCGAAAAAGCAGGTGTCAGACCCTGCACCAGAAAAATTACACAGTGCATCTTTAACCTCCTAAGTGACAGTTTACCTTTCTGTGATTTGCTGTAATGGAATTTCATGTTTCTATTAGTCACAATTGTATGTTTTTGTTCAGGCATGTCCATGTGTCTGACCCAGTGTCACCTCATCACAGAAAATCACTTGTTTTGTAAATGTTTAAGGGTCCTATATTACACAAAATTGACTACTGTGAGCTTTATGCCATGTTATAATGTTGTTGTTGTTGTCATCAAAAATATACCCGGCGTTGTGTTTTGTTTCATTCATACATGTTTGAATAACTCTTCATTATTATATGTCTGTCTACATCTCCTAAGCTCAAATGCTCTGTTCGATCATCTGATGTCATGAAGCTGTAGTTTTCAAGTTAATATCGACCTTTTAAATTTTGTTCAGTAGATACTGAAAATGCCATGGCGAAGGTATATGGAGATTAAAAACACAGTGTATCATTTCCTGTTTTCTTACATGACATCACAAGGTGTAACGGAGTGTTTTTCTCTTTGAGAGAAGAACTCAGCCTAAATATGCACGGTTTTTGTGTTAAACATGAATGAAACAAAACATAACTCCAGGTGTGTTTTTGATGGGGGAAACAACATTATACTGTTTAGAATAGCATTAGACCAGGTTTACTCTGGGTTTCATTTAAGTTTAGTCCAGGTTTTACACCAGATTTTAGACCAGGTTTAGACTATCGATTCAGTCCAGCTTTGGTTCAAGCCTAGACCAGGTTTGGACCAGGTACAGACCAGGTTCAGTCTAGGTTTGGATTAGGGTTAGGGTTAGGTGTATTTGCTCTTGGTTCAGTCCTGTACCTGTTGTGTTTCAGGTGAGTTTTTCCCGCTGCAGTTGGCTCCACACCAAGTACAGGTAAGAATAGTCTGGGTTTACTAAATGGGCTTAACTGCATCCTCATTTTGGCTGATTTTTTATTTTGGCACTTTCTTTATGTTTATTACTTTGAATGGAATCTTTACTGTTATATACTGCTGATTGTTTTTTTTGACTTGTTCACTGGAGCGGTCGTCTGAAGCTGAACTCAGAGATCCGAATCAAGATATGTCAGCTCCAGAATACATTTTACATTGGATAGTTCTGGTTTGGTCCACAGGCTATAAAATGTCTCCTGAATCTAAAACGTCTCGATTTCACAAACAAAAAATTTTGACCTCTGAAACCTTTTACACATTGATGTGTTTAACATTTTTAGAGCTCATTCTGGAGGCATTTGAAGTTTAGACCTTTTCTGAGAGAGTTTTGAGCTCTAAGGTCTTATTTACAAAAGGTCAAACACCAAAGTACAGGGACACGGTCACATGATCAATTCAACATGGCGGACTTCTTCTAGTAACTGCATAATATATTTTTTTGTTCAGAACAACATGATGACCACCAGAATTTCAAAGTCTGCAACAAACTTCACTTTTCAGGTAAAGCCATGGGTGCAGTGTATTTAGATTTTAGTGGGAAATTTTGTATTTCGTATGGACCTCACACCCACTGACATTTTGGGGTTCTGGGATCAGGTCCCACTTTTTCCACTGTTTGAAATGGTCTCTTACACATTCATAGACCTTTCCCTCTCTGGCCAGACTTGAGCACTCGGCACCATTGCTCCTGGAGTTACATCAAACCAAATGCTCCCTCACAAACAAATGAATGGTGAAGCCTGTCCCCATGTTAAACTATAGAACATGTTTATTTCATGATATTTCTTTCATGTCCCTGCTCTCCTCACATGCACATGTAAAAGAGAAGGGTTAGTGTCACTAGATGTTAAATACAGGGGACTGACTGAGTTCTGAAACTTTCCCGGACTAACCATGATGCTAAGTGAACAATAGTGTTAGCATGACACGTCTATAATTATAAACCCCACTTCCCACCCCACCCCTCAGAAGAACGCTCACTGATGAATGAACTAAAGTTTAATTGGCAGGTGCTGGTCAGTGTGATTGACAGGTGCTGGTCAGGGTGATGGATGGTGCAGAGTCAGGACCCTCTGGACCTGAGTCTGAGGAAAACACATCAGCTAAACACACTTTGAACTTCTCCTTATCCTCTTCCTCTCTGCTTGTGCTCCTTCTTTCTCCCACGTATCCACCTCCCCTCCTCCACCTCTCTCCTCCTCTCTTCTGCTCTCTTATGTTCTGTCTCTTTCTCTGTGCAGTGGTGCTCGGCTCAGGCCTCTCTCTCCCTCTTTGGGACTCCCTAAAAGCTCAGCATTTCTTCTGGGGGCCAGACATAACATTCTATTGTAACCTTGACAACCCACTTTTAAACAGTGTTTTCTATTCACCTGAGCTGCCAAGTCTAAAAAACAGACTTTTGACAAAGCTTCATTAGTCAACAGTCACTTTGTGTTAGTGGTAGACTCACAAAAAAATAGTATGGGCCCTTTAATATTTGTTGTATCTGTTATATCTGCTCATTATGAAATGACACAGCACCCAGCAGTTAGTTAGCTTTGATTGAAATGGAAAGCTCAGCCCCTCCCCTGGATGAAATGCAGAGAATTTAGGAAGCCCCCACATCCTCACTTCCTCTCTTCCTCTCCTTCTCTCCTCCTCTCCTCTAGCCTCCCTCCTCTGTACCTCTCTCTCATGTTTTCTCTCTCTCAGCAGTGGTACTCAGCTCAGGTTTCGGGTCTTCAGATCTGTCCAGGGTCCAGGCTGAACCAAGTGTCACCCCCTGCTGCTATGAAGAGGGAGGACAGTCCATATCTGAAGGTCTGAACATCAGCACTCATGTATCTGGTTTAGTCATAGTTTAAACCAGGCGGGGACCTGGTTCAGTCCCCGTTTAGTCTTGGTTTGATCCTGGTATAGCCCTGGTTTATTTCTATTTTAAATATGGTTAAGTCCTAGTTGAGTCCTTTTTTTAATCCTGATTTAGACCTGGTTCAGCCACAGTTCAGTTCTGGTTTGGCTGTGGCACAGAGTGACTGTGGAGAAAGAACCATGGAGTCAGTTCTTTGCTTAATGACACAGCAGCATAGAAATCAAACCCTCAGCTCTGGTCACTGTTGAGGAAACTCTCCTGTTACTATACAAATGGGGATAATTAAAGAAACATTGTGACACCAGACAGTTTCATCTTGTCTATTTATTGACTTCCAGCTTCCAGTGGCACAGGTCTTACAGAGTACAGGAGTACTGCAGGAATGTGCGCTGCTACCCACGGCACACATTCTTATAGGCACATCTGGGGTCAGAGTGGGTCACTGACATTTGTATGCTTTACAATTAGGCAAGGGTAAAACAAAACTATGTAACAGGTGAAACAGATGTCACTACTCCTACTTCTCTGAATTTGACATCAGGGCCAGGAACCACAGTGGAGGTGGTTAGTTTCTGCATAGCCACACAATAACCAAAAAAGAAACCTGCATCACAAACTTCCTGTACCATAAGCTGTAACTTTCCACTCCATCACTCACATCGTTCTGTGTGTTTCAGGAAGAGCAGTGTGAGCCTCTGAACCTCTCATCTCCAAATAAAACTCAGGACTATTCTAGAACACAACCAGGTCTGAGCCGATCCAAACCTAGTTCAGACCGGATCCAGCACCACCACAGAGGTAAGGCCTGCTGAAGACCTAGGTTAATTCTGGTTTAGTTTTGGTTCAGTTCAGGTTTAGACCTTGTTTGGACCTGAGAGGGCAGACTCACTTCACTTTACTGTTTCAGATCTTATCTTCAGTATGAACTCTTCTGGACTCCAAGATTACAAAGTCCAGACTCAAAGAGACCAGACCAGACCCAAGGACCTACAAAATCCAGTTCAAATCCACCAAGAACCAGTCTACACAGGGTCCCACAGTCTAGAGACCATACTGCCCTCTCTGAGCCACATCAGCCTGCACAACGGGGACAAGGTACTGGACAATACCTGCTTTAGTCATTGCTTAATACTGGTTTAGTCCTGCTTTAATCCTGCTTTAGACCTGGTTTAGACATGGTTTAGACCAGATTTAGTCCTAGTTTAGTGCTTGTTTAGACTTGGTTTCCAAATAACTAACTCCTAGACTGTTGAAGAATTGGACTAAGGACGTGTGCTCCACAGTGTTTGGCTCCAAATGAAGCTCATCAAGGCTCGCAGTTATAGGGGCTAATATTGAGCACAGTTCCAAATTTGGAATTCTGACCAATAAAAAGGATAAGCAGCAGTTATAGAGAGAGGGGCTACAACTTTTCAATAGAAAGTGAATTGGTATGCGGGATGGATATGTCCAGAGATACATACAGGATATGGTTTAACTCTGATGTCTTCTGTTCCAGGAGAAGCATCACTTCGAGGCCCTGAGTCAGATCAAAGTGAGACCGGACTCAAAACTGGTCCACAGAGTCCTGGACTTGACCAGACCTGAGGACATGGAGGGTATGGATCTGAACCAGGACTAAAACCAGGACTGAACCAGGACTAAACCAGGACTGAACCAGGACAAAACCAGGAATAAAACAGGACTAAAAAGGGTCTACTCTAAACTAAGCCTAAACCAGGACTGAACCAAGACTGAGCCAGGAGTAAACCAGGACTAAAGACATTCTAAAAGTCTAAATCAGGATTGAACCAGGACTGAACCAGGTATGAAGAGGGTAATTATATATATTATATGACAATTATTTTCAGATGGATTTGTTCAACAGCCCAAATCAGCTCACCTTTTATACTTTTACCAAGTCAGGTCTTTATGGTCAGATTGTGTTAAAATAAAGTCTAAGTCTAACGTAGCTTCAGACAGAGCAGTGCCTACAGATAGCATCACACCCCCATTGAATGTTGATGATATCAGTTACAAAGTATCAATAGTTTTGCTGCTTGTTCTCCAGATGCTCCTCTAAGCTCAGGCCGAGTGTTCCGCAGCAGCAGAAGCAGAACCTCGTCAGAACCTCACATCAAACGGCCCATGAACGCCTTCATGGTCTGGGCCAAAGACGAGAGACGGAGGATCCTAAGCTGTTTTCCTGACATGCACAACTCCAGCATCTCCAAGATCCTGGGTAAGAATTGGGTCTAGACCAGGAATGAACCAGAAGTAAACTAAACCGTGGTTAAACCAAGACTAACCAAGGACTACACCAAGACTGAACCAGATCTAGACCAGGACACGACCAGGACCAGACCAGACCAGACCAGGACCAGCCCAGGTCTAGACCAGGACTAGACCAGGACTAGACCAGGACTAGACCAGGACTGAACCAGGACTGATCCAGGTCTAAACTAGTTCAAACCTATTTCTAACTCAGGTCTAAAACAGGACTAAACCAGGACTAAACCAGCACTGAACCAGGTAAACCAGGGCAACACCAGGACTAAATCAGCACTAAACCAAGACTAAACCAGAATTGAACCAGGACCAATTTTGGGTCCAGTCTACTCAGTTGAAGGCCTTTTCGGCAAGTCTGATCATTTTGCTGAATTTATTCTATCACTCTGACAATGTGTTTAACATGATCTGATTATTAATATAACCTGTTTGATCCATGTGTATAATATCAGGCATAACTTTGACCAATCTTATTGCTAGTATGCTGCTTAACATTTTTTGATCTACATTTACTAGTGTACTTGAGCTATACCTAGCTCAGAATGACCCGGTCCACCTTCAACTTTAGCTATGTTTTTGAGAAAAAACATTAAACAAACATAAATCATAAAACATAGTCAGAAAACAGAGTAGTATGGGCTCTTGAAGTATTGAATTTTGAATCTAGAAGTAAATGTCTCAGTGTTCACCTTTTCTTGATCAAGAAGTGAGAGTAATTTATCATAACAGTGTGTAGAACTCAAATTAGGAGTGCTCCACCTTTAAGTATGGCTTCTGTCAGCTTAGCAAAATGGCGTCTTTAAACATGCTTTGAAAGGTTCACATGTAAATGAAGCTGCTACAGACATGCTGTGAAACGCAGACACACACAAAGAGAAAACTATTAGTAAGCATTATTGGTGAGTTATCTTTAGCGCTCAGAGCCTAACAGAATACAGTGCAATGAAAGGCGTGGCCGCTTAGATGATGTTTAGGAGATCGCTGGCTTCTCAGGGTACACTGGACATGGTAGAATTGAGGCAGTGTGATGGGGACGATGAGATGACGAGGAGAGTGAAGGGGTCGATGAGAAGCCAAAGGGGTGTTGGGGAGGAGGAGGGGCAAGGCACAAACTGAAACGGCTGTGCGCCTGCTATGGGGGTTTAAATTGGGCATGTGCTTGTGATTGTTGTCAGTGCAAGATTTCCTAAGCAATGGTTTAAGTTTAAGTTTTTGTGTTCCTACTCTAGCTGTAGACTTCTTAGAGCCATACTTTGTTCATTTGTTATTACAATGCAGTGGATACCAGCAAATAAAACAAAATCCACTGATCATTAGAAGTTGCTGAAAGTGAAAAATTTGGTGTGGGTGGGCAGGGTCAGATATATGTCCAGTCCCATTTGAGCTGCTGTCATCCTGCAGTCACTTAAATCCAGGCACCATTTCCTCTGGACTAATTGTAGTGGAATTTGGGCTGTTTTATGAACCCCCCTGGGCCCCAGGAGCAGCTTCAGATGCAGCTCCACAGACACAACCCCCACGTGCAGACAGCAAATAAGCTTTACTCAAGGTCTCAGGCGTTTCATCCATGGGCCTTTGTGAATTACATTATTTCATCTTGATGTTGGTTTCTTTATAGTGTCATTAGCACACATTCGTGTTGGGGGAGTTGGGAATGTGTGGTTTGGTACTGACAGATCCTTTCATGGCTGGTTGTGAGCCTGCAACTAGTTCATTCACTGCAGAAGATCAAGCTGAAAGGAAATGAGAAATTATAATCATCAGTTTCATCTGAATGCAACTTTTTGTACTTTCCATGTACTTATGTAAGATTTGGATTTTAAAATCCATAGACATATTATTTATCTCTCTGTCCCCAGATATGAGGTAGATATGTCCAAATCTAATATAGCTTTTACTGATAACAATTATGCTGATTTATTCTTAATTACAAAAACATTGGACATGATTGCAAAGTTCTCTGTTATAATAAGGTATTTTGGTTTTCAAGATGATTATTCAATCAAAAAGCAGAATGAGCCTCATGTGAGTTTCTTATTTGTTTTGCCAGTACCAATGTCTGAATCCAGTTGGTTTAAAATGCCTCTCTCTGATCTGAATGGTCCCAGCTCCTGCAGTCAAGTATTTATCAGTGCTCATGTGGCCTCTGCAGCTCAGTGAATGAATTCTGGAGGTTCTGAGTTTTAAGATGATGTATGGCCTGGGCTTATACTGAGAATGAGAAAGGTTGAGGTTAAGGAGTCTTTATTTGTATCCTTAGGTAAATTTGGTTTGCAGTGGGCAAGAGGCATCAAACATACATCAGTACATGCACACAATCCATTAATACAGACTAAAGCGATCAGATGTTTCAAGTGACCATATTAAAAATACAATGGCTGCGGGGATGAAACTCTCCGTATATTTTGGTGCTGCATTTTTGGCTCAGGCCTGATAGCACGTACTGACAGATTGTTCAGGAGCCAACCCATTTCACAATCTGCAAAAGTGCATTTTTGTTCTTCACCAACACAAACTGAAACAAACTATCAGAAAGCTAAAACTGATTAAATAAAAGCAGAGTAAAACAATGACACTAGAGACAGCAGGCTGGCATCAAAGTCTAGAGCAGTTGATAGTCTTGCCCAGATACTGATACTGGGTTACCTCCTCCGGAGTTTAAACTTTGATTGTAATTGCTTCATGACAGTAAGTACTTTTTCTAAAATCAATCACCAGTGTCCTGGAGCAAGCTCACAATAACTGTATCATCTGCATATTTAGGAATGAACCTGTTTTCGTATTGGCTTAGGCTTTAGTCTTTTCATAATGCCTGCGTGTATACTCTATATTTGTATTACGACATGAAAAGTGGTACCACCAGGCCAAGTTACTGGTCAGCTCTGTGGAGCCCATTCACAGTAAGAATACTTGCTTTTCAATCCATTTTAGAGTAAAAAAGCACCTGTAATGTAATCAGTGTCATGCTGTGGAACATCCCTGATGATGCAAAAACATCTCACTGGAAACAAATAGCCTAGGTGACATACTCTCAACCAGAAAAGTTATGCAGTGTTAAGCTGAGACCTGAAAGATGTTTGAAGAGTTGGATTCTCTCACCTAGGTTCATTAAGGAAACACTGAAATCAAACCAGAAAGACAGAGAAATTAGTTTGCTAGTAGGTATTTATTTTGTGCATTAGCTGCTAATACACTGGGCCAGATTTACAAATCCAATAGCAAAAGTGTAAATGAGAGCATACAGTGGGTCTGTGGCAGCTCCTATAATATTTTAACTTCTTGGGTTCTGAAAAGTACATAAGAAGACAAAATGAACATTTTTGGTTTAGCTCCTATAATAGTATCGGTGCAGTACCAGTTACAGTAGCCACTCTCTGAACTTTCATGAAAACAGCAAATTAAAGCCATACTTCAGAACATTTGCTGTGGTACGTTTTATGCAATACTGTATAGACAAAGGATCAACATTGCCATAGAAACAAGTGTTAGAGCAGGCTTTCCTCCAGGCCAGGTGTTTTTGTGAGGTTTGTGTAGATGCAAGCCTGTTCACACTAAGGACATATGTTTTCCTAAGCTGATAAGTTTTTCAGTGAAATTAAAACATCCAAAATGAGGATTTTTTTTATTTTTTATTGTCTATTTTGTGAATAGAAAGTTACATACTGTGCCATACATTTCTTGTTAAAAATGTTTGATAATAAAGACGATGGAGAGATTGTCATCAAACAATTGAGCATTTAAAAGATAAGCTAGATTTATATAATTTATATTTATGCCATTAGCATTGTAGCACCTACCCTTGTGTAATATCTACCTCTCTCCTCAAATTTTGAAATGTGTAGTAATACAGTGTGTACTGCCATGTAACCTGGGTAAGTTCTATTTTACTATAGTTACTTATGTCTGGAAGAAAAAAGGGACTGAAACCAACGTGATGAAGCAACAGTCTGAGGCTGGAGAGAAACATCACTTTCACTGATTATAATGTGTAAGATGGTTATAAAGGGTAAACATGTAAACATGGAATGTGTCTTGTAATATTAAAACAAAGACATTTTTTACTTTGTTCCTATCTCATTTCACCTGTCTGCTACTGTTTTTTTTAACTCTAAATTATATTTAAAATACTCTCATGTGCAATTGAGTTTTGTAAAGGATAGATGAACAATAAGCTCCTATGTTTCATTTGTGTCTCACAAAACAAACAAACAAAGAAACAAAAAGAATCTGATTGGACTGATTGGATGAAGACATGCTTGGTTTTGGTTCAAGAAAACAAAGGGCCTGATGATACTGGATCACAATATTAGCACAGAAATATTTCTCATTAGTGTGAATGAAAGTTATTGAAATATATATACTTTTTAAATTACCTTACATTGTGAATAAAGTTATATTATTAATTATGAATTAATAATTAATTAATTAATTAATAATGTCAAAATACTGTGTCTTGTGCACAATGGTCGCACAAAAATCAGCCTTGTGACATTGTATGTGCCTATGTTTATGCCTCAGTGTTTTAGATTAGACTTGGCTGTGGATTACAAAGATGTATTCCATTAATTTAACAGATAATTATTCAGTGACAGTGCTCGAGGTATAGCTGTCTTAATCACAGCAGATAGCTGTCTCCTCCCTCTCACTGTGTCCTGTGTGGATGTTTTAACAGTTTTGTCTATGCAATCAGCCTGCAGCCTATACTTTTGCCACCCCAATATGTGGCCTTTAATAATACATTTAACATGATTCACAATAACGTTACCATTTTTTTTTTTTTCTGTAATACCTTACATTACTGTGTTCCAACAAAAAGCAATGCAGTACTCTAATTCATTACTCCCAACACTGACCAAGACTGAACCAGGACTGAACCAAGACTAAACCTGGTCTAACTCAGGTCTAACCCAGGTCTAACCCAAGCCCTGTCTTCCTTCAGGTTCTCGGTGGAAGGCCATGTCCCATCAGGAGAAGGCCCCGTTCTACGCGGAGCAAGCGCGGCTTTCCAAGGTCCACCTGGAGAAGTACCCAAACTACAAGTACAAGCCCCGGCCCAAACGCACCTGCTTCCTGGAAGGGCGGAGACTGCGCATCAGCGAATACAAACAACTTCTCCGAATCAGACGGCAAGAGAGGCGGGACTACTGCGTGGGGTAAGAGTCTGACAGCAGCAGTTACAGAGAGAGGATTGATGGAGATGTCCTAAACTAAACTTATTTAAATCAGTCTTAACATGAACAAGACTGAGTAGTAAATATGTCATTATTTACTGCAAAGCTGCTAAAATCTAAAAATCATACATGTTTACGTGTACAAACTGCAGATAAAAGTGTATTTTGCCACATGTCTCTCTGTGTGTCCTCCAGGCCCCTCCCTCACCTGTCTTTGGGGAACAACGCTAACGTTAGCCAGGTTAGCAGCAGCAGCGATGACAACTTTTACCCTAGAACTGTCACCATAGCAACCACTCAAACAACCACAACCTCGCCAAACTGTTCGAGTGAAGCACTGAATCACGAAATTTCACCAAAACTTCATCAACATATGCACCAAGCCACGACAGATGAGAAAAAGATGCAGGGGGATTGTCCAATTAACGAGGCTAATGAGGATAATGTAGCTGAAGCGGAGATGGACGTCTGTGAAGGATCTGAAAATAAAGAGCACAAATCTAACACCTGTAGCGACCAGGAATCAAACTGAGCATGCCCAGAACTACAGGAAGTGGTGCTATAAACTACAAGATTTCGTTCAAACTCGACACCCGACCCTGACCTCCTCCTTCAGCACTTTTAAATTAATGAATTGTTTTTAAAATGTTTTGTGTTTGCCTCAGATGTGACTAGGCCTGTCACGATAAATTGATAGCCTACATTCTCTCGGGGTGTGATTCTAACTGTAGGCACTGCTCTGTCTCTGTTAGACTTTAATCTGAGTTTACAATCTGACCATACAGAGCTGATTTAGCTGGATCAGGTGAGATAATTTCTGCTGTTAAACAACTTTTTCACACATAAAATTATAGTCACAAGCTAGCTAGAATTAGCCAACAGTTATTTAATAAGTCTCTCATCTTTTAGTTGAAAATCAAACATCTAAACAATATCATGAACGCTCTTATTGATCACGGGCTCCTGAAAATGTGCTGTTTAAATCTAGTTTTTACTAATGTGTATATTGTGTCACCATGGTAATTGCAGAACATTATGTCAGTAGAGATACACGTAGAACACCCCCAGCATGATGTCACTGAAAAGTATAAATACTATAGATACTTATCATTCTTAGAGCTGTTATTGCTTTATCTGGAATATTCTACAGTGAAGCACAAAATTAATCCACCTCCATGAAGATAAGCAAAAACTAAACTAGGGGAAGATACAGGTCAGATCTATGGAGAGGTGTCAAAAAAGTGTCAAAGAATGACACTTTTTCATGGTATTTTTAATCAGTAAAACATCTGTAATGGGATAAATGTAAAACAGTAAATAAGTTTACTGTGGAACATTCCAGGCAAGCAATCACATCACCATGAAGACAAGCGGGTCTACCAGAAAAGTTACACAGTGCACCTTTAAGTGTTTCATTCTGCTATGTATTTTTGTGCAGCTAATATTTTTAAACATATTATACATTTTACTATAGTTTCACTTTTATCATTTATCATCTTTATTTACTTCAGCAATATATCACACTTCAAAATGTGTTATTGTGACGGGCCTAGGTGTGACAGTGGAGTTGAATGACTCTTTAAAGCCACATTCAGGACTTTTTCACCAAAGACTTTTACAACATTGCAGAAGATTCTCCAGATGAAGCTCTGTTTGGAGTTTATTTCTACTCTTTAAATGTTCTGATTTTCTGATCAGTGTTATTATAACGTTGTTTCCTCATCACAAACTTACCTGGATTTGTGTTTTGTTTCATTCACACATGTTTAAAATACAAACCCTGTATATTTAGACTGAGTTCTTTTCTCACTAATATTAAAAGGTTATTTAAACATGTGAGTGAAACAAAGCACAACTAGCACTAGTGTCAATTTTGTGTAATATAGAACCTTTAAATGTTGCTTGAACCATTGCAGTTAAATATTAAATTATTTATGTTTCGGCATATCTCGGCATGATCTGAGCATGTTCCAAACTGGTCCCTAGAATGGCGATTGGTTTTCTCAGACTTTTCTGTTTGTTTGTTGTTGTGAAATTTAAAATGTGAAATATTTATCATATTTAATGTTCTTCATCTCGTTAGCCTGATGTCTGACATTTCTCTTAACGATGTTTTATGATTTTCTTGAGATTAAACAAAGATCAGCTGTTTCATCTTTTCTCTGAAGTCTTTTATCACGATGAGAAAAAAAATCATCTTTGTGCTTGAAGATCAAAAGAAAAATATTTAAAAATTAATGAAACAAACTGATTATTCTGAACAAATGTTTTTGAAGAAAACATAGTTTGCAAAAACAGGCAATGTGTACAGGATCCTCCAGACCAGGATCATAACCAGATCATCTAAGAAGACCAGGATCATAACCAGATCTGAGACCAGGATCATAACCAGATCTGAGTCTCCATCCATCCATCCATCCATTTTCGTCCGCTTATCCGGGGCCGGGTCGTGGGGGCAGCAGCCTAAGCAGGGACTCCCAGACTTCCTTCACCCCAGACACGTCCTCCAGCTCCTCCGGGGGGACCCCGAGGCGTTCCCAGGCCAGCCGAGAGACATAGTCCCTCCAGTGTGTCCTGGGTCTTCCCCGGGGCCTCCTACCGGTGGGACATGCCCAGAACACCTCCCTAGGGAGGCGCCCAGGAGGCATCCGAAACAGATGCCCGAGCCACCTCAACTGGCTCCTCTCGACGTGGAGGAGCAGCGGCTCTACTCCGAGCTCCTCCCGTGTCACTGAGCTCCTCACCCTATCTCTAAGGGAGCGCCCAGCCACCCTGCAGAGGAAACTCATTTCGATCCCTTGTATCCGCGATCTCGTCCTTTCGGTCACTACCCAGAGCTCATGACCATAGGTGAGAGTAGGAACGAAGACTGACCGGTAAATCGAGAGCTTCGCCTTTCGACTCAGCTCCCGCTTCACCACAACGGTCCGATACAGCGACCGCATCACTGCCGAAGCTGCACCGATCTGCCTGTCAATCTCACGTTCCGTCCTTCCCTCACTCGCGAACAACACCCCGAGATACTTGAACTCCTTCACTTGAGGCAGGGACTCTCCACCCACCCGGAGAGGGCAAGCCACCTTTTTCTGGTCGAGAACCATGGCCTCAGACTTAGAAGAGCTGATCTTCATCCCAGCCGCTTCACACTCGGCTGCAAACCGCCCCAGTGCACATTGCAGGTTCTGGTTCGATGAAGCCAACAGGACAACATCATCCGCAAACAGCAGAGATGAGATCCTGTGGTCCCCAAACCGGACCCCCTCCGGCCCCTGCGCCTAGAAATTCTGTCCATAAACACAATGAACAGAACCGGTGACAAAGGGCAGCCCTGGCGGAGTCCAACATGCACCGGGAACAGGTCTGACTTACTGCCGGCAATGCGAACACAGCTCCTGCTCCGGTCATACAGGGACCGGACAGCCCTTAGCAAAGGGCCCCGGACCCCATATTCCCAGAGCACCCCCCACAGGACACCACGAGGGACACGGTTGAATGCCTTCTCCAAGTCCACAAAGCACATGTGGACTGGTTGGGCAAACTCGCATGAACCCTCGAGCACCCGGTGGAGAGTGTAGAGCTGGTCCAGTGTTCCACGGCCAGGACGAAAACCACACTGCTCTTCCTGGATCCGAGGTTCGACTATCGGCCGGATTCTCCTCTCCAGTACCCTGGCATAGACCTTACCGGGAAGGCTGAGGAGTGTGATCCCCCTATATTTGGAACACACCCTCCGGTCCCCCTTCTTATACAGAGGGACCACCACCCCGGTTTGCCAGTCCAGAGGTACTGTCCTCGACCGCCACGCGATGTTGAAGAGGCATGTCAGCCAAGACAGCCCCACAACATCCAGAGACTTCAGGTACTCAGGACGGATCTCATCCAACCCCGGAGCCTTGCCACCAAGGAGCTTTCCAACCACCTCAGTGACTTCAGCCAGAGTGATGGATGAGTCCGCCTCCGAGTCCCCAGCCTCAACTTCCTCCTCGGAAGACGTGACGGTGGGATTGAGGAGATCCTCAAAGTATTCTTTCCACCGTCCGACCACATCCCCAGTCGAGGTCAGCAGCTCTCCCCCCGCAATGTAAACAGTGTTGGCGAAGAACTGCTTCCCCCTCCTGAGGCGCGGGACGGTTTGCCAGAATCTCTTTGAGGCCGTCCGATAGTCCTTCTCCATGGCCTCCCCGAACTCCTCCTAGCTCAGAGTTTTTGCCTCCTCAACCGCACGGGCTGCAGCACACTTGGCCCGCCGGTACCCGTCAGCTGCTTCAGGAGTCCCCCGAGCCAGCAAGGCCCGATAGGACTCCTTCTTCAGCTTGACGGCATCCCTTACTTCCGGTGCTACCACTGGGTTCGGGGATTGCCGCCGCGACAGGCACCACAGACCTTACGCCCACAGCTCCGAGCAGCTGCATCGACAATAGAGGCCAAGAATGAAGCCCACTCGGACTCCATATCTCCAGCCTCCCCCGGAATCCGGGAAAAGTCCTCCCGGAGGTGTGAGTTGAAAGTCCCTCTGACAGAGGGCTCCGCCAGACGTTCCCAACAGACCCTCACTACACGCTTGGGCCTGCCAGGTCTTTCCGGCTTCCTCCTCCGCCAGCAAACCCAACTCACAACCAGGTGGTGATCAGTTGACAGCTCAGCCCCTCTCTTCACCCGAGTGTCCAAGACACGCGGCCGGAGATCAGATGACACGACTACAAAGTCGATCATCGACCTCCGGCCTAGGGTGTCCTGGTGCCACGTGCACTTATGGACACCCTTGTGCTCGAACATGGTGTTCGTTATGGACAAAACGTGACTAGCACAGAAGTCCAATAACAAAACACCGCTCGGGTTCAGATCAGGGAGGTCGTTCCTCCCAATCACCCCTCTCCAAGTGTCACTGTCGCTGCCCACGTGGGCGTTGAAGTCCCCCAGGAGAACAACGGAGTCCCCGGTTGGTGCACTGTCTAGTATCCCTCCCAAGCACTCCAAGAAGGCCGGGTACTCAGCACTGCTGTTCGGCCCGTAGGCCGACACCACAGTGAGAGACCTGTCCCCAGGGACCCGACCCTCTCATTCACCGGGGTGAACTCCAACGCACAGTGGGGCAATGAGCAGGCCCACACCAGCCCACCGCCGCTCCCCAAGGCCAATGCCAGAGAAATGGAGAGTCCAGCCCCTCTCAAGGAGTTGGGTTCCAGAGCCCAAACTGTGCGTGGAGGTGAGACCGACTATATCTAGTCAGTAACACTCAACCTCCCGCACAAGCTCAGGCTCCTTCCCCCCCAGCGAGGTGACATTCCATGTCCCCAGAGCTAGTCTCCATGTCCGGAGATCCGGTCGCCGAGGCCCCCGCCGTCGACTGCCGCCCAGATCTCTCTGCACCGGCCCCATATGGCTCCTCCCGCGGGTGGTGGGCCCACGTGAGGACGGCCCCACGTCGTCTTTCGGGCTAAGCCCGGCCGGGCCCCATGGGGGAAGGCCCGGCCACCAGGCGCTCGCTGACGAGCACCCACCCCAGGCCTGGCTCCAGGGTGAGGCCCCGGTGACGCCAATCCGGGCGACGTAACTGGCTTCTGAGTGGACATCATCATATGGGACTTTTGAACTGTTCTTCGTCTGACCCGTCCCCCCGGACCTGTTTGCCTTGGGAGACCCTACCAGGGGCATGAAGCCCCCGACAACATAGCTCCCGGGATCATTCGGACACTCAAACCCCTCCACCACGATAAGGTGACGGTTCAAGGAGGGGAGATCTGAGTCTCATCTATAATATTTATAGTTTCTCATTGTTTTGTACACTGTTGATTTTAGATGCCTCATTCAACCCTAACTTTGATTTGTTTTTATAACAAAAAGACTTTTGACAAATGTCACATATTAAAATGTAATAGTTTGTCCACTCCAGGCTTCTGTACACATGTGTTTGTGTATTTTGAATGGATCAGGTCTTTTTTTCTTTCAAAGGCCACTGAAAATAACACAACACCATCTCTTGAGCCTGATTCAGGATCTTAGTGTGCTCACTGCGGACGAGCTCTGCCAATGAACTGTACGACCAGCATCTATGATCAGTTTTACTGATTCAGTACAATAACTAGAGTAACAAACTGTCTCCACTTCTTATATAATATATAAGAATTTTGTCTTTGTTCTTGTGTCTCTTATTGGTCGTAATTCAAACGTGTTTTATCACTGATCAATTTTCTGTTTGGTCTAAACTCAGATGTGAACTTTAAACTTCAGGCGTTTCTGTTTTATCGACGTTTATGAAGAAAAGAAAAGACAAAACCCACATCAAAAAGACTACTGTAAATGAGGTTTAGATATTTTATATATAAATATATGTTCTAACTGTGAGCACGATGAAAGAACACAGCCTTGGGGCGGCGCAGAGCTCTGAGAAAGAAAGAGAGGGAGGACAAAGGGGATGGAGAGAAAGGGGGAAGGAGGAGAGGAGCTTAGGAGACAAGGAAACACCCAGGGAGGTAGGAGATGAGGAAACACCTGGGGAGGTGAGAGACAGTTTAGGAAATGAACAGGTGGGACGCACTCCACCTCTAACTCTGAAAACACAGTATAAATGGAGAATGTGTGGCTCTTTTATGGTTGTGATTAAAATGTTTTACTCAGATGATGACAGTCTGATTTTGTCACTATTTACTATTTACTATTTACTACAAAGTCCAGTACTGGAGCTTTAAGGAATCGCTCCCTTCTAAAACACTGTGAAAAATGTCATTTCTGCACCAGATACATTTAAACATACTGGCTTTTTTTCTTCTTCTTCTTCTTCTTTGGGAATCTAAAACAATTTTCAAAGATGAAAAAATATTGACAGATATTTTTTATTCACAAAGATTTGAGTCTTGGTCCAGGTCCGGGTCTAGGTCCAAATACTGGTCTCTCTTCTCAAAGTAGAAATTCAGTCTTGCTGCAGCATAACTGAAACAAAGCAGACTTTAATCACAGACTTTCAAATAAGAAGGTAAAACGAGAGGATGCGAGGAGAGAGGAGGAGAGAGAGGAGGAGAGAGGAGGAGAGAGAGGAGGAGAGAGAGGAGGAGAGAGAGGGGAGAGAGGGGGAGAGGAGAGAGAGAGAGAGGAGAGAGGAGGAGAGAGAGAGAGAGAGGAGAGAGAGAGGAGGAGAGAGAGAGGGGAGGAGAGAGGAGGAGAGAGAGAGGGAACAGAGAGGGAAGGAGAGGAGTAGAGAGAGAGGGGAGGAGAGAGAAGGAGAGAGGGGTAGAGAGAGGGGAGGAGAGAGGAGGAGAGAGAGGAGGGGAGAGGATGGGAGGAGAGAGGAGGAGAGAGAGAGGGAACAGAGAGGGGAGGAGAGGAGTAGAGAGAGAGGGGAGGAGAGAGGAGGAGAGGAGTAGAGAGAGGGAACAGAGAGGGGAGGAGAGGAGGAGAGAGGATGGGAGGAGAGAGGAGGAGAGAGAGAGGGAACAGAGAGGGGAGGAGAGGAGGAGAGAGGATGGGAGGAGAGGAGGAGAGAAGGAGGAAGAGAAGCCTGTAGTTAAACTGTACTTTATCAGAGAAATAAAGATTTAATGGCACTGAAATGTCCCGAGGGCAGTGAACACAACATCTCTGAAAACATTTTTTTTCTGTGACCCAAATGACCTCTTATTTCAAACTAAATGATCTGCAAAATAATGTAACCAGACAATTGACAGTCAGCAAAGCCAGGAGACAACTATTAACCTATCCTCTATTTATAACCTAACTAGGGATGTACCGATCTGATACTGGTATTGGATATCGGCGCCGATCCTAAGAAATTTCATGGATTGGAAATATTGCTTCAGTCGATATCTTGGTTGGATGTATAAAGTTATGTAATAAGACTATTTACAGGTTGCAGTTGGCCCAGAAAGTTTCTTAATGGTTAAACCTTTATTTACACAAAGTTGCTCTGTAGTTACCTCAAAGATAAATACAGTTACATAACACATTTGGGTCCGTTTTGTCTTATTTTACTTTTGTTTTGAGGGAAATAAATGCTGTTTGTCAGTCTCTGCACTTGTATCGGTTGATATCGGTCACAGGCAGATACTTAAAGTTATAGTATTGAAATTGATATCGGAAGTGAAAAAAAATTCTATAAGAGAGAGCACCTTCTGAAGTCGAAGTCTATGGATGAGAACCGGGACTGAAGAACCGCCCACATGCCCCAGAACAAGTTTGAGGCCTGAAACACAGAACACAGATTTACTCCTGATGCCCTCCCTGTGAATGACCGGTGTGTTTTTACCTTCAAGCATTAGGCTATTTTCTGATCTATGTTGTAGTGGTTCTCGAGTTTTTTGTTTCATTCAAACATGTTTAACACACAAATCCTGCATATTTAGGTTGAGTTCTTCTCTCAAACAGAAAACACTCTGTTCCACCTTGTGATGTCATGTGGTAATACAGGAATTGTGCCACTGTGTTTTTAAACTCCATACATCTTCACTAGAATCATTTGGATCATTTCAGCCCTGGAATTGCAAACCTCTATTGAATTAAACTTGAAAACTACCACTTCATGACATCACAAGGTGGAACAGAGCATTTTGAGCTTTGGAGATGTAGACAGACTAATAATAAAAGATTACTCAAGCATGTGAATGAAACAAACACAACTCTGAGTATGTTTCTGAGGAGGTAACAAGATTATAACATGACTTAATGTTCAAGAGTCAGTTTTGTGTTTATCTTCACATTGGCTCATATAGGCCAAGTTGTAAGTTAGATCTGTGGAGAGGCGAGCCTGCTCATAGTATAATTTATACTTTTCAAGGCATTTCTGAGCAGTAAGAACAAGTGTAATTGAGAAAAAAAAGCTAATGCAAATATAGTTAACATTGTACTGTGGAATATGTCAGAAAAAACAATAATATCTCCATGGAGACAAGAAAGTACTCCCGATGCCCTCCCTGTTACATACTGACAGACTTCAATTTCAGAAAAAAAGTTAAATGTGAGAATACTTAATTAAATAATATATAAATATGTTTCTAACTAAAATCAAATAAAAATTCAAATAATTTTGACTACATTCATTCAGTTCAATTTTTCAGTGAGTTTTCTTGAGATATGAGATGGACAAAAGTCTGAAAAACATTTGACAAAAACCTTTCACTTTTCCACACATTTTGTAGCAGATCAAACTCTTCCATTTAGAGATGATTCTGACTAAAACTCTTTGTCTCTAAAAGTCTTGTTTGAGCAGAACAGTTTCACTTTTCATAAAACAATATTTCCATCTCCGTCTGAAATGATCTGCTCTTGGTCCATTATGTGTGACACCGATCGGAAAAGTCCTGGTGATTTTACTTCAATTTCACCTCAGAACAATGAGAGAAAAAGAGACAAAAAGAAACGAGCAAATTTTAGGAAGGTCTGATAGTCATAGAATGACTGAAACAAAATAGAAGAATATAACTAACCCTAACCCCAACTCTCCTCTGTTCCTCTGACCATTTCCTCTGCATCTTTTCCTCCTCTGTGATTCTCCTCTGCTCCTTCTGACCCCATACTCTTCTCCTCTTCATCTTCTGCTCTTTTGACCCTCTCTGCTGCTTCTTTGACCCTTGCCTCTTCATCCTCTGCTCTTCTGACCATCTCCTCCTTTTCTCTGCCCTTCCCCTCTACTCCTCTGACCTTCTACTCTACTCTGCTCCTCCTCTCCTCTGAACTTCTCCTCTCCTCCTCTCCTCTGACCTTCCCTACTGCTCCTCTGATCTTCTCCTCTCCTCTGCTCCTCTGACCTTCTCCTCTGCTCCTTTGACCTACTCCTCTGCTCCTCTGACCCTCTCCTCTGCTCCTCTGACCTTCTCCTCTCCTCCTCTCCTCTGACCTTCCCTACTTCTCCTCTGATCTTCTCCTCTCCTCTGCTCCTCTGACCTTCTCCTCTGCTCCTTTGACCTACTCCTCTGCTCCTCTGACCCTCTCCTCTGCTCCTCTGACCTTCTCTTCTCCTCCTCTCCTCTGACCTTCCCCACTTCTCTTATGACCCTCTCCTATGCTCCTCTGACCCTCTCCTTTGCTCCTCTGACTTTCTCCTCCTTTCCTCTGACCTTCTCCTCTCCTCCTCTCCTCTGACCTTCCCCACTGCTCCTCTGACCTTCTCCTCTCCTCCTCTCCTCTGTCCTTCTCCTCTGCTCCTCTCCTCTACCCCTCTGCCCCTCCCCTCTGGTTTGTGGGCAGGTTTAGTGAGTGTTTTCTGACCAATGAGAACTTGCAGACGTGGATGTAGAGGCGTGTCACTTCCTGCTCAGTGACCTCTCTTCCTGTTTCCTGGTTGTAGTTTTTGAGGTAGGCCCTGATCCAGTCCTTTTGTAGTCCGGGACTTGGATACCGGCTGTAGTCCAGGTCACTCACTCCTGACCAGCATGGACACATTTGCATATTCATGAGCTCATTTATATATTCACAGCCAACATATTTACACATGAAATTCTAAATACCTGCAAACTCGTTGAAATGGTTTCCGATGTCGAAGGCCTGATAGTTAAAGTCTGCATACTCAAAATCTATAAACTTCACTGTTCCTGCAAAAAAAAAAGGAGTAACATTATAACAGTAATATTTGAAGAAGTAGTAGTAGTTTCACATGCAGTATTTGTAGTATTTGTAGTACCTTTCTCTTTGTTGTAGATGATATTCTTGGTGAGCAGGTCATTGTGACATAGGACCACTGGAGACTGGAGCTGACTCAAACTGGACTTTAACAAAACCATCTCAGACCTCAAGACCTCAAGACCCGGGACCGGACCAGACCAGAACCTGGATCAGAGACCAGAACATGGATTAAGACCAGAGACCACAGACAAGAGACCAGAGACCAAAGACCAGAGACCAGAGACCAGAGACCAGAGACCAGAGACCAGAGACCAGAGACCAGACCAGAGACCAGAGACCAGAGATCAGAACAGAGAATAAGACCAGAGGACATAGACCAGAGTTCAAAGACCAGAGACCAGAGACAAGACCAGACCAGAGACCAGAACAGGGACTAAGGCCACACTAGAACACGGACATTGACAGAGACCTTAGAAAGACCAGAGACCAGGGCACAAATTTGGACGAAAAGAATCATGCTCTTCATCATTCACCTGCTCTCTGATTGGCTGTGGTTGTTGTGACTCTCCTCTGATTGGCCTGTTTGAATGAGATTCAGGAAGTGCTCCATCTTCTTCCACAGAACCGGCTCCTCGGACTCAAAGTTCTTCAACTGAACTGAGTGAAGCTTCGCCATCTCTGCTGCAACTAATCTGAAAACCACACAGAGTTTAGACCTGGTTTAGTCCTGGTTCAGTCCTGATGTAGTCCTCATTTAGTCCCAGGTCAGACCTGTATATCTGGGGCTGCGTGAGCAGGCGGTCGCTCAGTGGCTCCCCGTGTAGGTACTCATAGCTGATACCGTTCCTGTAGCTGCAGTAGATCTTTGGACCACAGCCTCTGGACTGCAGGACTCGGACCATCTGGACCTCCCTGGACCGGTCCACAAACAGGTCTGTGTGCCTGCCAAAGATTCGGACCAAGACACAGTCCGAGTCCGGGTCTGGTCTGTGGACTGGTTTCTGGTCTGGTCTTTGGTCCAGTCTCTTGTCTGTACTCTGGACTGGTCTCACAAAACAACCAATCAGACGGTTTGTGATCCCCTCTGTAAAAGACTGAGGGAAAAGTTAGTTTATGAAGAACTAAACCAGGATCAAGCCAAGACTAAACCAGGACTGTTGCTGGAGTGAAGTGTCTTGCCTAAGGGCACATCAGTAGCAATGTTTTAACACCCAACTCTCTCTCTATGATGTATTTTCTCTTGATCATGATAATATTCAATTTTCTCCTCGTTCCACCCACAGGACACCCCCCTCCTGTCTTTCCTTCCCCCACTTCTATTTTCAGTTTTTTCTTTTCCTCCATCTTCCTCCCACAGGGGACCCCTCTCTCCTATCTTTCTCCCTCTTTCTTTCTCTCTCTTTTTAACCCCCCTCAATGTCTTGTCTCTCTCTTCTCCATCTCCTTTCTCACTTGTCTTCTTTATCTCTTTTTCTTCCCCCTCTCTCTCCTCTCAGTCTCTCTTCTGTCCTCCCTCTCTACAATCGTTGAGTTTTGTTTTCTCTCTCAGGACATCAGTTGCTCTCTGATCTAAACTCTCATTATTCTGACATGATGGTGCAACAGCAGGGGGCGCTCTGAGGTACATTATGTCCCACTGACAGCTCCTTCTCTCCTCCCCCTCTCTCCTTCCTCCCCTCTCCTCCTCCTCTCCTCTGACAGCTGACATAATGGACTGGAGATATATTTAAAGGGCCACTCTGTTCCACCTTATGATGTCATGTGGTAAAACAGGATGTGTTCCACTGTGCTTTTAAATGCAGCCCTAGAAATTCAGTCCTGATTTGTTGACACAGCTGTTATTTTAAAATTTAGCCTCACTGAGACTGCATTTTATTGAATTTTTCAACTGTACAGAATGTAAAAACTACAATAAAAGTGTCATCTTAAAGTTATTTTAGAGCAGACATGTCAAACTCAGGCCCAGGGGCCAAATTTGGAACGCAATATAATTATATTTGGCTCACGAGATCATATCATATATGTATTAGAGCTGGCCTGCTGGCTACACATAGACCATAGTGACATTATTTATTTAAAATTTTGTTATTATTTTATTTAACACTTGTTCTGGATTCAATATTTAAGCAAAACTTTTACTAAACATTTATTTTTAATAAGAAAAAGGTTTAACATTACAAAAGAAGAGAAAACATGCAGATGCTGTTGAAATTTTCAATAAATATTTAGTTTGACTTAGTCTCAGTTTTTAATATTGGCCCTCTGTGAATTTGAGTTTGACACCCCTGTTTTAGAGTATTATAGAGTAAAGTAGTTAAATAATTGAGACTAAAATAAAACTGTTTAAAACTATCACTTACTGTCATCACAGCAAGGTGGAGCAGAGCATTTTGAGTTTTGGACATGACAAACTGACTAATAATAAAGGTCTTCTCAAACTGCAGACCACACATCAACACAACTACAGCTACTGTTAAATCATTTGTGTCCATGGAGACAAGTGAGACCAGGTCTGTCTATCTATTTTATAGAAAGAATGCAAGTGTTCCAAAAAGAATAGAATAAATGTGAGATCGATAATGTCTTACTGTGGAACACTCCAGGTCAAACAATTACATCTCAGTGGAGACAAGCAGGTAGTGGAGTGTCAATATAAAGATTATAGAGAATTATAGAGCACCTGCAAATATTCATTCTCAGTTTAGTCCTGGTTTAGACCTAGGTTAGTCCAGTTCATTCCTGTTTAATCCTGATTTGTTTCTGGTTTGGTCCTCACCTTCATGTGGACTTGCTCTGGACTCCAGTCTGGTCTGAGGATCTGTAGAAGTTCTAAAATCCCAGATTTGGGTTCCTCTTCATTTATTTCCAGATCCACATGAGGAACCTCAGAACATCTGAGCTCCATCTCCATCTCCTCCAAAAGTCTCGACATTGTAGTAGAAGTTTAAATGAATCACAGATGCTTCAGAAACCAAATGAAGCCTGAGGAATCCTCCTGTTTTTCCAGTTTCTCCAGATTCTTTCCTTAAACCTGAAAATTGAGCCCAAATCCTGATCTACACCTGGTCTAAACCTAGTCTAAATGTAGTCAAAATCTGGGCTAAACCTGGTTTAAAGCTCTTTCAAACCCCGGTCCAAATCCCAGTCTAAACCTGATCTGAAACTGTTCTATCCTCCTGGTTTCTGTAGGAGGGGATTGCAAGTTCAATGCTCTCTCTGCTTCTGCTTCTGTCCAAAGTTTAACGTTTAACTAAAAAGTGGAGAAAAGTTCAGGCTTGGACTAAGACTGGACTTGGACCTGGGTCAGTCCGGTCTGATCTGACATGAGGAGCAGGCCCCTTTATACAGCCCCTCCAATTAATACTTTGCAGTCCAGCAGTTACCATGGTGACATAATGCACACACACACGCACACGCGCGCACACACACACACACACACACACACACACACACACACACACCTATTCTGAAACTTAAGAAAAAATACTAAGTGACTTTAAAGAGAACATTTCAGTCTGTAATCAATATGAGTGTTCATGGCCCTGTCCAACTAAGTCAGGTTGTGCTAAAACAAAAATCAGATTAAGTCTAACTTGAGTAACCGAGCTTCAGACAGAGTAGTGCTTTCAGTTAGGGTCACAACCTCAAGAAATGTTGATGACATCAGATGCATACTATCAAAACAAAACACTGAACTGGACTTTGCATTGTTGCATAATGACATTAAAAGTGCACATGTGACAGTATATCCCTCTGATAGACTTTACTGCTGAAATACTGCCCTTGATGCTGCTGCTCACACCGTTGTTACATACACCATGTTATCACTGCTTATTCCATATGTTATCACTGCTTATTCCATATGTTGTCACTGTTTATTCCATATGTTGTCACTGTTTATTACATATGTTGTCACTGTTTATTCCATATGTTGTCACTGTTTATTCCATATGTTGTCACTGTTTATTCCATATGTTGTCACTGTTTATTCCATATGTTGTCACTGTTTATTCCATATGTTGTCACTGTTTATTCCATATGTTGTCACTGTTTATTCCATATGTTGTCACTGTTTATTCCATATGTTGTCACTGTTTATTCCATATGTTGTCACTGTTTATTCCATATGTTGTCACTGTTTATTCCATATGTTGTCACTGTTTATTCCATATGTTGTCACTGTTTATTCCATATGTTATCACTGCTTATTACATATGTTGTCACTGTTTATTCCATATGTTGTCACTGTTTATTCCATATGTTGTCACTGTTTATTACATATGTTGTCACTGTTTATTACATATGTTGTCACTGTTTATTACATATGAGCTGCTCTGAAGGTCATTGTTGTCCTGCTGTTTAGATGGGCCTTATTTATGTTTATTTATGTATTATTTATGTGCTTTTATTTTGCACTTTTGGTATTTTGTTTGACGCTCTAAATCTAATTCTGACAATAAAATTTTGAATCTTTATATTGATGACATCAGCTGCAAAATATCAATTGAAATTTGGACAAAAAAAATAAAAAATAAAAAAATCACTTATCATCATTGTTCTTTCAAAGTAACATTTGAGTTGAGCTTCGAAAATGTAATAATAAAATTCCAAAATGTGGCACAGTGGCTAAGTGGTTAGTTAGCACTCATGCTTCATAGCAAGAAGTTCGATCCCTGGGTCACCTGAGCCTTGGAGTTTGCATATTCTGCCTGTGTTTGTGAGCATTCTGCATATTCTCCCCATGTTTTTGAGGTCTCTGCATATTCTCCCTGTGGCTGCAAGGAGTTTGCATATTCTCCCCGTGTTTGAGGGCAGTCTGCATATTCTCCCCGTGTTTGAGAGAAGTCTGCATATTCTCCCCATGTTTGAGAGAAGTCTGCATATTCTCCCCGTGTTTGAGAGAAGTCTGCATATTCTCCCCATGTTTGAGAGAAGTCTGCATATTCTCCCCGTGTTTGAGAGAAGTCTGCATATTCTCCCCGTGTTTGAGAGAAGTCTGCATATTCTCCCCGTGTTTGAGAGAAGTCTGCATATTCTCCCCATGTTTGAGAGAAGTCTGCATATTCTCCCCGTGTTTGAGAGAAGTCTGCATATTCTCCCCGTGTTTGAGAGAAGTCTGCATATTCTCCCCATGTTTGAGAGAAGTCTGCATATTCTCCCCTGCATATTCTCCCCATGTTTGAGAGAAGTCTGCATATTCTCCCCGTGTTTGAGAGAAGTCTGCATATTCTCCCCGTGTTTGAGAGAAGTCTGCATATTCTCCCCATGTTTGAGAGAAGTCTGCATATTCTCCCCGTGTTTGAGAGAAGTCTACATATTCTCCCCGTGTTTGAGAGAAGTCTGCATATTCTCCCCGTGTTTGAGAGAAGTCTGCATATTCTCCCCGTGTTTGAGAGAAGTCTGCATATTCTCCCTGTGTTTTCGAGTACTCTGCATATTCTACTTGTGTTTGTGAGAAGTCTGCATATTCTCCCTGTGTTTTCGAGGACTCTGCATATTCTCCTTGTGGCTGCGAGGAGTTTGCATATTCTCCCCGTGTTTGAGAGAAGTCTGCATATTCTCCCCATGTTTGAGAGAAGTCTGCATATTCTCCCCGTGTTTGAGAGAAGTCTACATATTCTACCTGTGTTTGAGAGAAGTCTGCATATTCTCCCCGTGTTTGAGAGAAGTCTACATATTCTACCTGTGTTTGAGAGAAGTCTACATATTCTACCTGTGTTTGAGAGAAGTCTGCATATTCTCCCCGTGTTTGAGAGAAGTCTGCATATTCTCCCCATGTTTGAGAGAAGTCTGCATATTCTCCCCATGTTTGAGAAAAGTCTGCATATTCTTGCTGTGTTTGTGAGGAGTTTGCATATTCCAACTGTGTTTTTGTGAAGTCTGCATATTCTCCCCATGTTTGAGAAAAGTCTGCATATTCTTGCTGTGTTTGTGAGGAGTTTGCATATTCCAACTGTGTTTTTGTGAAGTCTGCATATTCTCCCCATGTTTGAGAGAAGTCTGCATATTCTCCCCGTGTTTGAGAGAAGTCTGCATATTCTCCCTGTGTTTGAGAGAAGTCTGCATATTCTCCCTGTGTTTGTGAGAAGTCTGCATATTCTCCCTGTGTTTTCGAGGACTCTGCATATTCTCCTTGTGGCTGCGAGGAGTTTGCATATTCTCCCCGTGTTTGAGAGAAGTCTGCATATTCTCCCAGTGTTTGAGAGAAGTCTGCATATTCTTGCTGTGTTTGTGAGGAGTTTGCATATTCCAACTGTGTTTTTTGTGAAGTCTGCATATTCTCCCCATGTTTGAGACAAGTCTGCATATTCTCCCTGTGGTTGAGAGAAGTTTGCATGTTCTCCCTGTGTTTGTGTGGAGTTTGCATGTTCTCCCCGTGTTTGTGAGAAGCCTGCATATTCTGTCTGTGTTTGTGTGGAGTTTGCATGTTCTCCCTGTGTATGGGTGGGTTTCTGTCTGCTCCTCTGGCTCTTCTCTTTTGTCTCTTGCTCAGACTCACATTTCCCTCAGCGCTCCATAATTGAAGGTGAACTCTGTGTGATTTGTCGGTAAACGGTGGTAATTCCTGGTGATCACACTCGGACCGCACCGGGACTGAAAGATGCTTGAAACAAAACCAGACAATTCAGAGGAAAATGTGTGAGAAATGAAATAGACCAGAAAACCAAAAATGGGAGGGCATCTGACACACAGGGACAGCATTTGGGATACAGGAAGGGCATTAGGCATATAGGTAAGGAGGGCATCTGACACACAGGGATGCAGGAAGATGGGAGGGCATCTGAACTTTTCTTGTTTTGTTTCACTCTCAGAATAATGGGCCCCTCTGAGAGTCAAAGTTCTTTGGTTAAATTCTTATGAGCCACAAAGTCCAGACAAAGACCCAGCTCTGGTCCCTAAGGCCCTGGTTTAGTTCTGTTTTAGTCCTGTTGTAATCCTGCCTGGTTCAGTCCTGGTTTAGTCTTGGTTTAGTCCTAGTTTAGTCCTGGTTTAGTTCTGGTTCAGTCCTGGTTTAGTTTTGGTTCAGTCCTGGTCCAGTCCTGTTGTAGTCCTTACTTAATTCTGATTTAGTTTGATTATAGTCGTCGTCTTGGTTTAGTCCTGGTTCAGACCTGATGTATGACAGTTTTAGATCTGGTTCAGTCTGGTTGAATCCTGGTTGAGTCCAAGTTCAGTCCTGGTTGAGTCTTGGTTGGTCCTTTAATAGTCCTGGTTAAATCATGGTTCATTCCTGGTTCAGTCCTGATCCAGTCCTGTTATAGTCCTGGTTTAGTTCTGGTTCAGTCTTTGTTTCTCTTTTCCCTTCTTATGTCTGACAGGATTTGACCCCAGGGCTGGACTCTGCACTGTGTCTCGGAGGGTCTCTGGTCCAAGGGGGTCTAAGGGGGGTCTTTGGTCCAGTTCTGGGTCTAGTCCTGGTCTTTGGTCCGGTCTGTGGGGTCCATCTCTTTGTGAAATCGTTCCTTTGTGAGGAAAATGAAATATGGATAAGTTCAGGCTTAAAAGAGCAAAAAGTTTTAAAAATTTACCACGAAAACAAAACTCTTTCGGACTCAAAAATCTACAATTCTCAAACTTTTCTGACTTTAAACTGCATATGAACGTTTGTGTACTCATTTTTCTAAAACACAATTAACATCATTAGTCTTGAGATTTTAGTTTTGATTTGACTGGTTTTGTAATTTTGATGAAGTTTATAATTTTTCTCCCTGGTTGGACAAAGAAGATAATGTAATAACCATAATGTAAACAAACTAAAATGACAGAATTGATACTTTGCAGTGAGGTTATTCTGGGGATGTTTTACATATATGTGTATGGGCTCTAATCACAATTATGTCACAAAACCGGAAGACGTTTGGAAACATGTGGATGACGACTTCCTTTTGGATTCTACTGGTGGTCGTAACTCTGACAAAATCTGAGAAAACTGAGAAAATGGCCTGATTTTCTTCATCTAAATGTCATTGTATTCTTTCTTTTTTCCTTTTATAAATTGCCTACTAATTTGTGTATTACAATTTGTCTAACTTCATAAAAAAAAAGATGTAACTGTGAGTAGGGGTGTAACGATATCCAAGTCTCATGATACGATATCATCACAGTATGAACCTCACGGTACAATATTTACTGTGATATCGTGGAAAATCTCACGATATGGTGGGGAGGCTCACAATTAAGGATGTACCAACATCCAAATCTCTCGGTACGATATTTTCACAATCTACAGCTTATGGTACGATATTTCTTGTGATATTTTGTGTAGGCTAACAAAACTGTGAATATGCTATTTTTTTCTCTTAAAATGCCTTGACAAGACTTAAAGGTTGTATGGAGGATTTTTTTTTGTTTCAAATTGTCAATGATAGCATTATAGAGGTGCAGTAGCCTTGTAATTATGATGACCAAAAAAAAGAGAATAAAAATTCATCAACTCTGGACGTGGTGGGGCTAAACATTTGCCAATAGATAACGACACTGCCTCGTTATCTGTTAGCTGACAGGCTGTCAATCAATCTCCCTACGTTTCTAGCGTAACTGACTTGCCTGCGCCGCCGGTACGTGGTTTACGTACGCCTGTCACGCAGTCCACAGACGCAAGACATACAGACGCTGTTTACTCCACCAAAACAACAGTTCTTAGCGGCTTTTTTTGACCTATATCTTCCTCGCAGTTAGCACAAAGTTTGTTGCAATGGCGACAAGAATCCAGGAGCAGTTAGCCGCAAAAGAAAGTCCGTTTTTGAGATTGCTGAAAGAAGAAGACAAGGGGAAAAGCAGCGAAGCCAAACTAAGGTGATTCTTATAGATTCATTCCAGCGATGGCGCGACTGAAGCAGACGAAGGGTCTAAAGACTGACGCATTGGTCGCCAAATTACTCCTGGACAGGTCACTTCTGCTTATTATGAAAACGTACTTTATTTCCAAGAGCTAGACAAACGTTTTTCAGGACACGAAAGCGATATCCTATGTCTGAAAACGTAATTTTCAAGGCAAAGAAAGAGTCCGCTTGCTGCTGCGTGTTGTAGCTAGTTCATTCGCACTGAATCTCCGCGCAACCTTCTCTGCACCCCTTTCCTGCTCCTGTCCCCGCTGCCCGATCCGCTCTTCCCCCTGCTCCTCACTTCTCCGGGCACGGAATCTCCGCGCACCGCTCCCCTCTCCTCTCTCCGCTCCCTGCTCCGCTCTTCCCCCTGCTCCTCACTTCTCCGGGCACGGAATCTCCACGCACTGCTCCCCTCTCCTCTCTCCTCTCTCCTCTCCCTGCTCCGCTCTTCTCCCTGCTCCTCACTTCTCGTCCGCGCACGAAATGTCCGCACACCCGCTCCCCCCGCTCCTCACTTCTCCGCCTTGCCTAACCAACACTGTAGTTAGTTGTTTACAAGTCATGTGCAGCGCACCGGCTGTAAACAAACCTGTTTCTGGCGTAAGGAGGAGGCGGGAGGAGGCGTTTCTACGTAGGAGCTGTAGGGGAGGGGGGGTGGTTTCACGCATGCGCAACATTTGAAAAAGGACAAACAGTCGCTGGATTTCTCGTTCCTTGGAAAATCCTCTATACAACCTTTAATCCAAAGAACTAAAACTTAAAAGTGCTTAGAACTGTTATTTCTTCATGGAGTCTACACTGAAATGGATCAAAGGATCATGGTCTATGTAGTTCCCTCTGTCTTTTTTTTTGCTATTGCTGCACCATGATTAATGATCTTAATTAAAGCAAAGAGACTTGTAATTCAATATATTGTGCTGGTCCATGATATTATTGTGAGAACTTTGATGATACAATATCACGATATTTCAGTTATTGTTACATCCCTAAACTGTAGCGTTCCTTTATGTTAAGCAGATCAGCAGTTATGACCAGCTGCCTGTAAGTGACATCAAAGACACGATTATAATCACGTCCTGCATGGAAAACTTTGGCAGGTTCTGAAGACGCTGCTGCTGAATCCACGGTTTTATCACATGCCCAGTGTTGGTAACTGCACTGGAAGTAGTCATCTGCATGTTTCCAAAAGTTTTCTGGTAATGGTGAATAGGGTCTGTTGACAAAATGTTCAAAAAAGGTTTTAAGATAGAAAATACAAAGTGGATCTATATGTCCATGGTTCTGCTGTAGGTCCAGCTAAACTGGTTCTTTCTGCTCAGATTAAAGTCTAACAAAGCCTCAGACAGAGCATGCCTACAGTTAGCATCCTGTGAATGTTGATGAGCCCCAAAGTATCAATAGTTACGAGAAGACTAATACAAATGAATTATAAAGCCTTTATTTAGTGAAATGAAGGTTTAAACTGTCAGAAAAATACAGACGATTTATGTGCAAGGAAGGCTCCTTGCACATAAATCGTCTGTATTTTGGATGAAGATTTCCGTGTTGATGAAATACTGTAAGTAGAGAGATTCTGTTTTACAACTCAGCGCTACCTTGTGTACTTTGTACTTTTCTTGTCACCTTTTTTTCCACAAATTGACACTGATGTAAATCTATGATAAATATTTAGTACAGGTGCTTTAGAATTAGAAGAAAATATATGAATTTGTCAAATGCACTTTAATGTGAACTTCATGCAAAGCTGCAATTTTAAATAAACAATTTCAAGATTTTAAAACAGAGCACAGACAATGACCAAACATTTACACAGATGATAAATACCTGTTCCAAAATTATGGAACATTCATTTTCAGAATGTAGTTTTGAAAATTATAAAACAAACTAAATTGGTATAAATAACTGATGATAATGAAATGTATTGCACTATTAAAAATCATAAAAGCAAAAACATAACTCATAAAGTATTTTCCAAATGAAACATTACAAATTAATTTAAAGGTACACTACTTAACTTTTCTGATAGAGTAGATGTTATGGCTTTTACATGTAATGTATCTATGTCCATGGACAAGCAGGTGACAGGTCAGATCTGTGGAGAGCCGAGCACACTCACTGTAAGAATGCATGTTTTTTTTTTTTTTTGAGCAATACAATAAAAGCGGTAGATAAATATGTTTGATGCCATGCTGTGGGACATTTCAGACAAAGCAATAACATACCCATGGAGACAAGCAAGTGCCGTACACACTACCAGAAAAGTTACACAATGTAGCTTTAACTCCCGCAACAAATCAGAGGACACTAGTCAGATTGCTGTTCATGTCCTCCATGTCTGTAGTCTTTACATAGATGTTTGTAGTCCTTTTTCTCACAGCTATTCCTTTTTGCTGTTCTCTGTAATGCTTCAGGTTGGGTCTATAGGGGGCACTCTCATGTTTCGTACCATGTCATCACTAACCAGTGGGCCTGAGACGTGAGGATGATGTCACAAATATCCAAATATGTTTTATTTTGTTTAGAGAAAAACTGAAAAAGTGTATGATGTGAAGAGTCTTGATGTTGCGTTCATGTGATCCTCAGGAACTCAGGAATATGTTTTTTCTACAGATTTCTGTGGTGATTACTTAGTTGTGCCATCACATTTGGACTCTTATGTGAAGTGGGAGTCCACTGATCATCTCCCAGTTTGAAGTGGTTTTCAAGCAGCATTCCTAGAATTGTTTTTTCCAAGTCCCAGGTGTGAAATATCCCAGGTACCTGTAGCTTGGAACAAACTGTTAATTGTAGTTTTACACATAGCATGTCTAAAAGCTTCGTGTCTATAGTCTTCAGTTTTTATAGTTGTAGTCCTTACACAAAGCTCTCCTCCGTGTTTGTAGTCTTTATTTGTAGTCCTTACGCAAAGCTCTCTTCCATGCTTGTAGTCTTTAGTTCTTATAGTTGTAGTCCTTACACAAAGCTCTCCTCCATGTTAGAGCAAAGCAGAAAAGAGTCAACAAGTCTGGGGGCGATGAGCTGCTGATGGTCACTAAGCTCCAGACTCTCTGGACTGACTGCCGCCAAACGCCTCAGAGCAGCCTACACAAATACACACATATATATGAGGTTAGACCATAACTAAAAGATGAAACCAGATCTAAACTAGGACTGAACTCAGGCTGAACCTGGACTGAACCAGACTTAAACCAAGAACACTAAACCAGGACTAAACCAGGAGTAGAACAGTCATTCTCACCAGACAGGCGACCAGGACTGAATCGGAGTTGTTTCGTTCAGTGGGAGAACGACACAGTTCAATCAGACGAGGAACAGCTGAAAACAGGAAAATAAAGTTAATTTGTTTTGAATATTTTTTCTACTTTAAATGAAACAGTTGATCATTTGAGCAGGATCTGTCACCCTGTTCTGTTCTGTGTGTCCCACTGACAGTTTTGTTAAAGGTTTCCTCATCACAAATATACCTGTAGTTGTTTTGTTCCATTCACATGTTTCAGTAGCCCTTTATTATTAGTTTGTCTATATTTCCACAGTCTGTGGATCCACCTTGTGATATCATGAAGTTGTAGTTTTGAAGTTAACAGCTACCTTTGACCTTTAATTCAGTAGAGATTGACAATTCCAGGTCTGAAATTATCCAAATGATTCTAGTGAAGGAGTGTATGAAGTCTAAAAACACAGTGGAGTTCTTCCTGTATCACCACATGACATCACAAGGTGGAGTGTTTTCTGTTTGAGAGAAGAACTCTCTTAAATGTTTCTGGCGTGTTAGATTTAAACATGTCATTGGTATAGTTGATCTTTATGGCGTTCTGTGGGATGTTTCATTCGTACCATTTAGCTTGATAGCGTTCTGGGCGAAATCATGGTCGCGGCTCAGACGAGCCAGAGTGACAGCAGCCTTCTGCTGCACCCTCTCACACGCAGCACCCTCTGATGGACTGGAAGAGGAGGGTCTCTCGCCCAGAAATGACAGAAGACGCTCTACACCTAAAGAATTAATATGACTATGATTATTATAATACATGCATATTATTATTATACATGTAAGCAACTATAGATGCTCTGCTCCTGAAAAAGAACATAAAACTACCAGTTCCACCCCTGACTGAAGTGGGGCCCACAGCTCCAAGGGTCTAATTTGGCCCTCGAAAGGCTCTGAGATTCTGATGCAATTTTGTATTGAAAAGAAGGTCAGGAGATGGGAAAGAGGCCAATGCTGTGTATTTTCTAATATTTAAAATCAAATAAATCTTTTTTTAATGCCATTTTATCTCCTTGATTTGAATCTGATGAGGAAAAAAAATCTAATATATGTAACTGTAACCATCTTAACAAATAACATTCTAATGAGGTCTACACTTAAAATGTCCCAAAACACACAAACATGTCAATGAATATATAAGTAATATATTTTACAAATAAAACAGGTAAGGACATAATTAAATGTTCAAGTTCATCTTTAATCAGTGAAATCACCATTTACAAAGAACATGAACATGTTTTAAACTATAATAAACTTTATACATTTATTCATACACACTCCCTTTTGAGACACAAAAATTCATCATTATTACAAGATACTCCTGAGAACAATAAAACATGTGAAATAAAATAATTGTTTTTCATTATTTTGATGTAATTCATTAAATCCTTGACTCCATTTAACCCAATACTCCAGTAATCCAATAATAACACGCTTATGCATCATTTTAAAATTCATTTAAAAATCCAGTTATGAGACAAATCTCCATAAAGAAATCTGATCTTTTTATTTTAAATTTGAGAGTGAAATGTCTGGTGTGCTGCTGCTCCCTGCTGGACATGAGGAGAACTACAACCTACATTTGACATCAGTTTGACATAAGTGCTCCTTTATGTTAATTGAATAAAACTTTATATTAAAACTATATTAAATAAAAAGACCAAAGTCTGACCTTGCTCCTGCAGCACTTCCTGAGAACACTGCTCCAGAACAGAGAGATTTGCCAAGATCGTCACCACCTGAAAAAACCCCCAAACATTTCAAAACAAAGTCTGGAACTGTGGATACAGAGAAAGACTTTATACATGATAGAAAAATATGTTCAAGACGAATTCACAAATTTAAATATTTCCTTCCTGTGCATCAGATACAATCCCCTCCTCCTCCCTGTGTACCAGCTGCCCTTAAATTGGGTCTTGGTCTTGGGTCTGACCTGATCTTTGGAGTATGGCGTGTCCACTCGGGTCCGGTCTCTGGATGCTTGGATGAGGATTTGGACGGCGTTGGACTGGAGCAGGATCTCACAGGCCAAAGAGTCTAAGAATGTGATGTTCGCCAAGGCCGCCGCCGCCAAAAGGAACACCTCCCCACAGGATGCTGATGAGCAGAGAGCTGAGAGAGAGAACCAGGACTGAAACAGGACTAAAGAAGGACCAAAGAAGGACTAATGCAGGACTAATGCAGGACTAATGCAGGACTAAAGCAGGACTATACCAGGATTAAAGCAGGACTAAACAAGATCTGAACCACAGGTCTGAAACAGGTCTAAACCAGGTCTGAACAAGGACTGAAACAGGTCTGAAACAGGTCTAAGCTGGGACTAAACCATGTCTAAAACCGGACTAAAGCAGGACTAAAGTAGGACTAAAGCAGGACTAAAGCAGGACTAAAAAAGATAAGAACCAGAACTGAAACAGGACTGAACCAGGACTTAAACAGGTCTGAAATGGGTCTAAACCAGATCTAAACCAGGTCTGAACAAGGACTGAAACAGGTCTGAAACAGGTCTAAGATGGGACTAAACCATGTCTAAAACAGGACTAAACAAGATACAAACCAGGACTGATCAGGACTAAAACAGGTCTAAACCAGGTCTGAGCCAAAACTAAAACAAATCTGAGACAGTGCTAAAACAGTTCTAAAACAGTTCTAAAACAGGTCTAAAACAGTACTAAAATAGGTCTAAACCAGGTCTGAACCAGGACTGAACCAGGTCTAAAAGAGAACTGAACCAGGACTAAAAGAGGACCAAAGCAGGACTAAACCAAACTAGAAAAAAAACTAACTAACCAAACTAAAATGTCTGAAACAGGTATCAACTGGGAGTAAACCAAAATCACAACTGAAACAGGACTATACCAGGACTGAAACAGGTCTAAACTGGGACTAAACCAAAAACAGGACTGTACCAGGTTTGAACCGGGTCTGAAAGAGGACTCACAGATGAGGGCGGTGACTATATCATTCATGCTCTCAATGAAGCTGAGGAGATGTGCTGTGGAGCTGTGATGAGGAGAGGTCAGCTGAGCCACCACCGCCGCCGCCTCCGCCTTCACCGCTTCAGGGGAGTGATCATCTGTGAGGAGGTCAGCCAGACACAAGAGCCCGTCCACCTTCAGAGAGACAATACCACCTTAAATACAACAGAAGAGCCTTAAAACAGTACAACAACACTGCACATCAACGAGACACAAGAGCCTGTCCAACTTAAGAGAAACAATACCACCTTAAATACAACACGAGAGCCTTAAAAAAATACAACAGCACTGCAGGTCGATGAGAAACAAGAGCCTGTCCACCTTAAAAAAGGCAATACCACCTTAAATACAACACAAGAGCCTTAAAAAAGTACAACAATGCTGCAGGTCAATGAGACACAAGAGCCTGTCCAACTTAAGAGAGACAATACCACCTTAAATACAATACAAGGACCTTAAAACAGTATAACATTGCTGTAATTCAACCAGACACAAGAGCCTGTCCACCTTAAGAGAGGCAATACAGCACTATAACACTATCTGTGAGGAGGCCAGTTGCCAGAATACCACCTTAAAAACACTGTAGTAGTTTAAACTGTATTCACGTTTCTGATTTTCACTCTCCTCCAGGGGTCAGTGTTACCTCAGTCTCAATTTGACTTCTTTCCTACCTCGCCTCCTGTCTTCTCAGTTCCCTCCTTTGCCTCATGGATCTATCCCTATTTCCTTTCCTCTCCTACTCACACCTGTCACCATCCCTCCTACCTCCTCGTCTCTTGTCTGTTCGTTTCCTTCCCTCGTCTCCTCGTCCCTCATCAGTCTGGACCTGTCACTCACAGTCTCTCTCGAACTTTACTCTTGTTTTTTTTCACAAACATAAAGTTTCCTCTCCCAGTCCAGAGTCTTACTTAACACAAAATGAATGGGTATTTTACTACTACTGAGTATTAACTGCTAAGACATAACATATTTAGATCACCATGTTATCCTTTTCTGTTTTGAAAATACTATATTTGCTCAAGACTAATACTGCTAATCAAAAGGTGGACTTGAAAAGAGCCCGGAGGAGATCGCTAGATTAGTCAAACATGCATGGATGACATCTAAAACCTCTTTGGGCATGTGTTTAATAAGGGACAGACTATATAAATGGACATAGCTAACCCACTAGCTGCTGCATTCCAAGTAGGAAGTGAACATGGGAGCGTTTCTGGCTCCACTGACTCTGATTCCAATTGACTTTACATTGTCACCCGTCTGTCTGTAAGTGCTGCAGTGAGACTCATCATTTCGGTCTTAAAATGTTCATATTAACCCGGTCTATATGATCCTGGTGTTTTTTTTTTTACTATTTTGTCCGTAAATAAATTCCTATTTCTAATATGGAACTCAGCGCTGAATTCGCTCCCGTAACGGCTAGATTCGTGAGCTTCATTTGACTGGAGCTGAAAGCTATGGGTGACTTCACACTTGCTTAGTCCTCTTCTTTATACAATTTATGCTGAGGGAACAACATTATAACATGGCAGAAAACTCCAAAAAGTACATTTACAGAACATATTCTTAGCTCCACCCCTCTTCTTCATCTTCTTCTTCAGTTCAATTCAAGTTTATTTAGCACATTTAAAACCTCTCCAGCTGACCTAAGTGCTTCACATGAGAGTTAAGAACAAAATACACTACAGTCTCTCTCTCTCTCTCTCTCTCTTTCTACCCCCTTCCCCCTTCTCTCGCTCTGTTGGTTTCAGTCCCAGGTCTGCTCTGGTGTTTTGTTTAGTATTCCATGATCGTTACATAAACATCTCGTTGTTCCGTAGCATTCCGTGGCGTTCCGTCTGGTTCTCTGTGGGACCGTCGAGACTCGTTAAAACGCCGCCACCGTTTTCTCGCCTCATCGCTCCGTGAGCACAGGTGCCTCTGCTGCCACCTGTGTCCCAGTGGAGAACTGCACACTTTGCTTTCTGTTTTTCACTTTTTATTTCAATCATTTTGTTTATGGGCATCTGTCACAAACCAATGGCATTCTTCTACATCAGGAGCACTGGACCAGGTCTGAGCCATGATCCTGGTTAGGAGTACTTAGCTGGAGGATTACTGAGCGTGCCTTGGGTTTCTATAGAGGAGCCTGATCATAGACTGTAAATAAACATAGCTAAGCTAGCCTGCTAGCTGCTGTGTTCCAAATGGGACATGAGATTAGAAGTGAGAGTAGACACGATTTGGCTCCTCAACATTTCTACTGAAAAACAAAACAAAACAAAACAAACAAAAAAACAAAGCAAAACAACAACAACAAAAACAAAAACATGGCCCCTCTCTTTCTGACATTAAAATGTTAGTATTAACTTGCTCTGCGTCAGGGATCTCAAACTCAAATTACCTGGGGGCCACTGCAGGAAGAGTCTCAGTGAGATCATCAAGTAGGCTATTTGACAAAATAGGGTTTCATGTATTCAAAAAAAAAAAAAAAGCCTCAGCTGTCCATCTTTAATAATAACACTAAACACTAAACTGACACTAAACAAGTTAGGGCCCACAAAATATCATTTCGTGGGCCGCAGCTGGCCCCTAGGCCGTGAGTTTGACAGTCACATGAATGTGACAGTTTTTTTTGTGACAGTTTTTTTTACATACAAATAAAGAATGACATGTTTTCATCTCCTTACTAATGTTATTCCATCACTATGCCCTAACAAAAGAAAAACATCTTTGGTTAAGATATTTTCTGTCTTTTGGCAAAATACATTTCTCTAAGGGAACACTTTGTTTTTTGAAATTTAAAGTTTTTTTTAACATCTTCTGGAAGAGTAATTTGTTTAGTTTTAAACATTATTTGAAGGACTTAATAATCTATGTGATCTTTACATTTCAAAGCTAGTAGTTATAGTTACGTATGTAGTACCTTGTCAAGTTGCAGTACTCCTTCCTCCACGCAGCAGATGGAGGCGACGGTTCGCAGAGCCGGCGCGTAAAGCTCTTTAAACTGGTCCTGTCTACAGAGTTTAAACAGCGCCACCACTGCTCCCTCCTGGAATTACAGACAACAAAATAATAATAATTTAAAATGATAAATAAATAAATAAATAAATGTTATTTTTCATCCAGACCACCATCATGTGAATAAAAGTTAAAACATTATGAGATGTTCTGGGACAAAGTCTTTTTACATCTAATTAAAGGCCAAACCAGCATATTGACTGAACCGATATCATGGAACCAATACCCGATCTAGCAAACATTACACTATCGACACATTATTCAATATCAGTATCGTGGAGCATGCCTAGTTTGAAGTGTTCCTTGATCATACTGATTTTGTGTCCTAGGGCAAGACACTCCCACTCGTCAATGGATTTATTTAGTTAAGGTGAAATATAGAAAAAAATAAATAAATCAACTGATTAATTGCTTGAAAACAAATAGACTCAACAAGTTCTTTGTCCACGCTGCTTCTCTCTCTCCCTCCTCTCTCCTTTTCTCTTCCTCTCTCCTTCCTTCTGGGGACAGATCTGTGGACAGGCATCTGGCTTAATCTAATGCCAGGTGAGTTATGGGTCATATCTGTGTTTGAGCAGGTAAACAAAGCTCTCCACTCAGACGGATGCCCAGAGCACATAGAACCAGTGCTCATAAACAAATGCATTATTTTAATTTCACTGAAGAGGAGAAGAGAGAGGCAAAGTCAGAGAGGAGAGAGAGGGAGAGGAGATAGTGAGGAAAATGGGAAAGAGGGAAAGAGGGAAAGAGGGGAGAGCGGTCAGAGATGGGGCAGTGTTTAAAGGTCCTATATTACACAAAATTGACTCTTGTGAGCTTTAAGCCATGTGTTACATTCTCAAAAACAAATCTGGTGTTGTGTTTTGTTTCATTCACACATGTTTGAGTAATCCTTTATCGTTAGTCTGAATACATCCCGAAATCTTCATAAATATGTTTTTTATATATATGTTCAGGTTTGATTCCACAGACAACACTTGTATTTTGCTCAAAGGCACCACAACAGCATGAACAAGCGTAGAACCACAAACACACCGTCTACCTGCTCTTGGTCAAGTCTGAGAGGCTCCTTCACAATAAGAGCCTCTGGACACATTACACTGGACCAAGTACAACTTATATACTGTATTATGTAATAGAGTAATGATGTCAAAACTCTACTTCGCATTTGGACTGAGGAGGTCATGCCCCGGTTCTGGTTCAGTCCTGGTTCAGTCCGAGTTCAGTCCTGGTTCAGTCCTGATTCAGTCCTGGTTCAGTCCTGGTTCAGTCTTGGTTCAGTCCTGGTTCAGTCTTGGTTCAGTCCTGGTTCAGTCCTGGTTCAGTCTTGGTTCAGTCTTGGTTCAGTCTTGGTTCAGTCCTGGTTCAGTACTTCTTGAGTGTTTTGGGGTCTTCCTGTCAATGTCTTCTTTCCTCTCCTCCGTCTCTCTCCCCCTCTTCTCTCTCTCCTTGCCTCCTCCTCTCTCCTCTGTCCTTTTCATTCCTCTCCTCCTTCTCTGCTCTTTTCTTTTATTGAACACTTCTGTATTCACTGAACAGGAGGCACTCAGGAGTGAAGCGCCCTTATTGTGAAACGGGGCGTGGCACAGGGGAAGTCAGGCGTTTTATTTTGACGAGGTGTTTATCCAAATGAACTTTTGTCAGATTTAAAATAAACTTATGATGTAACAGAGTCAGTGTGTGGAAATAAACATGTTTGGTTTAGTTTAGTTTCAATCCTGGTGTCAAGTTCAGTCCTGATTTCTTTTTAAACAAATATTTATCTGGAATTTCATGTTTTGTCAATAAAAATGTCTGAAAAACAATTCATATGATTTATTAAAGACTGGGTATTTTACTTCTATGGGGTATTAACTGCTAAGACAAAACATATGTTACCTTTTATTGTTTTGAAAATTTTAGATTTGCCCAAAACAATGCATTAACATGTTTAACAAGTTTCATTTTTATTTTTGAGTCAGTTTTGAGCCATGTTTTTGTATATTTATGGAGAATTGTGGGCATGGGTGATGTAGGTTTGTAGGCCCTTCTTTCTCTTCTCCCTCTTCGTCAGGTGAATGTCTCTATAATTGGCTCTTTCCTCTTCCTCCTCCTCTGCTTCCTTCCTCCCGCCTCTTCTCTCTCTCCTTTCAGGTGGATGTCTGTGCAATTGTCTCTTCCTCCTCCCATCTCCCTTCTCTCCTCCTTCTTTTTTCTCTTCCTCCCTCTCTTCTCTCTCCCTCCTCTCTCATCTCTCCTCTCCTCCCTCTATTCTTTCTCCTTCTGTTCTTCCTCTCTCCTTCTTTCTTCCTCCCCTCCCTCTCTCCGTCAGGTAGCTGTCTGTGTAATTGTCGGTGACACAATCAATGCCTGAGATAAACGAAAGAAACAGGAAGAGTTTTATCAGCTGCAGTTTATCTGAGAGAGGACCACAGACAGAGACAGAGGAGACAAGAGACAGAGCAGGGACACGCAGACACATGAGACAGATGAGACATGAGAGAGACTGAAAGAGAGAGAGAGAAAGAGAGAGAGAATGGAGAAGAGAGAGAGAGAGACAGAGAGCAGACCAGAGACATGAGGGACACAGGTGAGAGATGAGAGAGAGAAGCAAGAGAGAAAGAAGAAAGAGAAGAGAGAGAAGAAAGTAAGGAGAGATGAGAAATAAAAGCAAGAGAAATAAGGGAAAGAAGAAAGAGAGAGAAGAAAGAGATGAGAGCAAGAAGCGAGAGAAAGAACAAAGAGAAGAGAGAGAGAAGAAAAGAGATGAGAGATGAGAGAGAGAAGTGAGAGACGAGAGATGAGAGAGAGAAAGAAGAGAGAGTAGAGAGAGAAAGAGAGAAGAAAGCGATGAGAGATTAGAGAGAGAAGGAAGAGAAAAAAGAGAGAGAAGAGACAGAGAAGAAAGACACAAGAGATTAGAGAGAGAAGTGAGAGAAAGAAGAGAAAGAGGAAAGAAATGAGACATGAGAGAGAAGTGAGAGAAAGAAGAAAGAGAAGAGACAGAGAGAAGAAAGGGAAAAAGAGAAAAGAGAGTGAGGAGAGAGAAAATACAGAGAAAAGAAAGAGAAAAGAGAAAGAAGCAAAAGAAAATAGAGAGAGAAGAGAGAGGAGACAGAGACAGAGGAGACATGCAGGACAGAGAGTGCTGTGGGTGATGTCACGCTCACTTAGTCAACTTCTTTATACAGTCTGTGATTATAATGTTGTTCCTCAGTAAAAACATCCCTGAAGAGGTTTTAGATTTCATCCATACATATTTAACTCTAGCCAATCTAGCGATCTCTCTAGGGCTCCGTTCAAACTCTCCTTACGATTACGTGTTCTCCTGTAGGGGCGTACCTGAGCGATGATGCTGCACAGCTGGGGGCCGTCCTGAGTCAGACTGAGCAGAGACGAGATGGCGCCCTCTACAGTCTCAGGCTGACTACTGCTCTCCACCTGCTCCACCAGCACCTGTCAATCAAACCACCTGTCAGCAATATTTAGTCCTTGTTTAGGCCTGGTCCTGGTTTAGTCCTGGTGTCGTCCTGGTGTCGTCCTGGTCTAGTCCTGGTCCGTACCCGGATCTCATTGGCCAGGGCCAAGTCAATCATGGTGCTGAAGTCCTGGCTGAGTTCTGTGAGGATTTGGTGGATGGACTCTCGACTGGATTTTAGGAAGCTCTGGTCTTCGCTCTGCACACACCTGAAACAAGACCAGGGTTATACCAGACCTAAGACTGGACCTGGCTTAGTCCTGACCCATTCTCACACTTGGTTTAGTCCTGGTTCAGACATAGTTCACACTCACCTCTCTGTGATGGAGGTCAGCTCTTGGCTCTTCTCCAGGAGGATCTTTTCGTACTGAAATAGACATGGGTCAGCTCATTAGATCAGTGACCCGATCTGTGGCATGTAGCAGTAGTAGTAGTAGTAGCAGTAGTAAGAGTATTAGTATTAGCAGTAGTTCCTGTGGTACACTTCTCCCTACAGTATAGTGTTATAGTAAACTTTATAGTTGACAGTTAGCTCGGTGTTGTGGTAGCAGTAGCAGTAGTTGTAGCAGTAGCATTTGGAGTGGTAGTAGTAACAGTAGTAGTAACACACAGTAGTATTTGTAGTACCTGTAGTAGCTTCTGTGGTACGCTTTTCCCTACAGTATAGTGTTGTAGTAAACTTTACAGTTGACAGTTGGGTCAGTGTTGTGGAAGCAGTAGTAGTAGTGGTAGCAGTAGTGTTTGTAGTACCTGTAGTAGTTCTTGTGGTACGCTCCTCCCTGCAGTATAGTGTTGTAATAGTGATCGTAGGTGACAGTTAGCTCTTATGGAGGTGCTGTGCGTGCGTTGCCATCGTCCTTTCTCAACGCGGCTGAACATTCTGCCCAGCTCTGTACTGACCACCAGGGCGCGCCTCAACAGGGTCTGCAGGTTAGAGCGCGCAGGCCATGCCCCCCCGGAGCTCACCTGGACAAAGGGGACGAAACACATGACAGGTGAGGAGAAGATACAGGACATGGGGGAGGAGAGGAGGAGACAAGAGACAGGTGAGGGGGAGAGTAAAAGACATAAACAAAAATAAAGAGGGACAGGTGTAAAGAGAGAGCGACAGAGGGACAGGTGTTAAGAGAGAGAGACAGAGGGACAGGTGTTAAGAGAGAGAGACAGAGAGAGACAGGTGTGAGAAGAGAGAGAGACAGAGGGACAGGTGTGAAGAGAGAGAGCGACAGAGAGACAGGTGTGAAGAGAGAGAGCGACAGAGAGACAGGTGTAAAGAGAGGGCAACAGACAGACAGTTGTAAAGAGAGAGAGACAGAGAGACAGGTGTGAAGAGAGAGAGTGACAGAGAGACAGGTGTGAAGAGAGAGAGTGACAGAGAGACAGGTGTGAAGAGAGAGAGACAGAGAGACAGGTGTGAAAAGAGAGAGCGACAGAGAGACAGGTGAGAAGAGAGAGAGACAGAGGGACAGGTGTAAAGAAAGAGAGACAGAGAGACAGGTGTAAAGAAAGAGAGACAGAGAGACAGGTGTAAAGAAAGAGAGACAGAGAGACAGGTGTAAAGAAAGAGAGACAGAGAGACAGGTGTAAAGAAAGAGAGACAGAGAGACAGGTGTAAAGAAAGAGAGACAGAGAGACAGGTGTGAAGAGAGAGAGACAGGTGCAAGTGAAACAGGAGCAGAGACAGAGAGACAGGTGCAGGCATGTGCAGTGAGATAAGAGCAGACAGGTGCAGTCAGACAGTAGGATAGGTATAGACAGGTGCTGTAAGACAGACGCGCAGGTGCAGACAGGGGCAGAGACAAATGCAGTGACACAGAGGGACAGGTACAGTGAGACAGGTGTAAAGAAACGGGTGTACAGTTGCAGATTTCTCACCAGGAGCTCCTCTTCATCAACACCCAGAGGTTTGGCCTGAAGCACACACATACACTCCACCTCGGTCATGTGACGCAGATCGTCCAACCAGCGCTGTACCGAGTCTGACTGTAATCTGAAACTGTCAACACAAACAAGACAACACATAAATAAATGAATAATGAAGTAATCAATACTAATAAAAATACACAACCACACTGAGTTCATAAAGTCTTTCTAACACTCAAATCCTGTTTCTTTTCACTAAAATAATCAGACTTATCCCAATACTAAGCCTAAAGTGTGTGATTTTCTTAAAAACTTAAAAACAGACCTAGTTCATTTTAAATAGTTCATGTGGTCTAGTGCATTCAGAGCATCCTAATTATTCACCTGAGTTCATAAACACTTTTCATAACTCTCAGAGACCGTCACTATAAAGCTGAAACATATAAACAACAACTACAGCAGCAACAATGAACACTTCTGATTCTCGGACAGTAAAATGCTTTCGTAAATATCTGACTTATTTTGACCTTAAGAGCTGCTTATACACTATATCTGTACCGGGGCAAGACACATTTTACTTTATTACATGAAAAGAATCGCACCCCGCCGCTTTAATAACTCTCTTGTGCCTACTGTGTCCTCTCTGACCAGAGCTGAGCCGCTCTCTGTTTAAAGTGGACTTGTGGTGTGTTTAATGACCTCAGCGCGTGGGAGATCCTGCCTCTGTCACTTTTATAGATCCATAATCCATAACTGCCCCAAACCCACGGCTCCCATCGACCAAATGTCCCAGAGCCCAACATGATCGACCAATCACAGAGCAAACAGGAAACAAATGATTCACTAACGAGGAGGGAGGGGGCGGGGCTAACACTAACGAGAGAGAGCCACTAATGAGACACTGGCGACCAAATGAAACTCTGACTAACTGCAGACTCGCTCACTAAAATCTGAGTTTTAAAAGAATATAGGAGAACGAGAGGGCATCTGACTCACACGGATACACAGGCACAACATGCACACTCCACACGCAGTAATCTCATCAGGCACAGGAACTGAACCCACAACCTTCCTGTCATGGGACAAAGGTGCTAACACCTTATAGATACAACACGGCCTATTGAGTCCTGTGCAGGACATTATTATCTGGCCAATTGGTTGATATGTTTAAATGGTCTGTTCATATTTTTAGTGTACAAAAGTACACTAAAAAGTACAAAAAGTACACTAAAAAGTATAGAAGTATATGAATTCATTAAAATAAAAAATATCTGTGTGAACTCCTTGCTCCAGAACACTTTTACTTAAACTTTGAGATAGTTTGAATATTTGATGAGTTCATGATTCAGAGTTTTTTCTGAGTCACTTCCTGTTGTCAGAATCCATCAAACCATGTATATTTTTATGATTTCTCCTATAGTTACAGCTGACAGTCAGACTACTGTGGAGACACAGACCAAACTGTCCATGTGTGTATTTGTATTATATTTCTCCTCCTGACAGCATCTGCAGACACAGACACACAGGAAGTCCCATCCTATTATTTTTATAAGTCATATTTTTAGGCTGTCTTATTTAGAGTGTTGATTTTCTGCTTATGTGAGATTCTGCACTTCTTCTGTTTGGTTCACCGCAAATGTAAAAACCAAAAACAAAACAAAAAAACAACTTAATGTGCTTTTAATTTAGTCAAAGCCACAGTCTGTAACTATTAAACTAAAATAAAAGCATGTTTTATTATGAAGTTTTATTGCACTGAAAAACATGTGCTCTTACTGTGAGTGGGCTTGCTTCTCCACAAACCCACCTCCAGAAAAGTACAGACTGTAGCTTTAAGCTTATTTCTTTTACGTAAAGTTCATGTTTGCTTCTTCAACAGGGACACAGGGCTGCATTTATTTAAAACAGGACAAATGTTTGTGCAAAGGTGAAGGCGCAGGCTAAGGTTAAACTCTTGTGAGCTTTAAGCCGTGTTTTAATGCTGTTGCTTCCTCAAAATCAAACCTGGACTTGTATTTTGTTTCATTCACACATGTTTGAGTAATATGTATTAGTCCTTCTATGTCTCCAAAGCTCAAAATGCTCTGTATCACCTTATGATGTCATTTGTAGTTCTCAAAATAGCAGCAGCTACCTTTTACTGTTTGTCCAGTAGAGATTGGCAATTTCAGGGCAAAAATGATACAAATGATTCTAGTGACAGTGTATGGAATTAATTTAAACACAGTAGAGCACAATGAGTTTCAATAAGCTTCATCTGACCGCAGCCAAACGCTATGGGTGACGTCACACTCCCTTAGTCCACTTCTTTATACATATGACTTTGTTTTTACTAAATGGTCTATTAGAAGAAGTGTGAGATGGCTTTGTTCTTTTTAAACTTGCACATTTTATTATTTGTATTTATTCTTTTATTCTTTGTATTTTATATTCGAGGTAGTTCAGGCCTTTACCTGTGAGAGGCACCTATGACATCACACATAAAAACATCACACAATCACACAATGAGAGGGGGGAGAGAAAGAGGAGAGAGGGAGAGAGAGAGAGAGAGAGAGAGAGAAAGAGAAAGTAGAGAGCGAGGGGGCGTCTAAATTGGCCTCTTCACATGTTTACGTCTGTCCACAGTTTTCATATGATTTTATATGATTAGGTTTTATTTTGACACAAACAGATTTTTCTCAGAACTCATTTATCATAATTCAGCCTCTCACCCACAGAGAGGTCAGAGGTCACAGCATACAGCACAAACAAACAGCTGTCCTGGTTTAGTCCTGGTTTAGACCCAGTATAGACCTGGTTTAGTCCTGCTTCAGTCCTGCTTTAGTTCTGGTTTAGTCCTAGTTTAGTTTAAAAAAAAAAAAAAAGAAAAAAAGTGATATAAACCTGGAGGGCGAGGAGCAGCCGCTGTGAGGAGACGCCATCTTGCACAGGTCAGAGAAGAACACTCTAGAACACTTCAGATCATCTGGGCTTTATATGTGGTCCAGGTCTTGGTCTTGGTCCTGGTTTGGTTGTGAATCAGAACCTGGAACAGAAGATCAAATAAATGTCAATAAAAATGTAATATTAAAATTAGTGCCGTCATGCGATTAAAAAAATTGAGAGATTAATTAATTATGATCTGTTATTAATTAATCTAATTAATCTCATTTTAATCTCACCTAAAAATTGCTGAGAAAAGCTTCAATTTGAGGTATTTTCATTTAAATTCATTATTACATTATTGTGGCAGATCAAAAGACTGATATAGATTAAAAAAAGTGACTTTATAAAGTCATTTATTGTTTAACAAATCTCTCCAAATTGTCTGTTGAGCCCAAGTCTCCATGAATAAGAAACTGTTTGCTGTAAAGTAGCAAAGACGAGGAAATCTGAACATAATAACTTTTGTTTACTTAAAGACAATAAAAAGTCCAGTCTTTCCTTAACCATATTAAAAATATTATTGATAGAGAAATGCTTTATATATGAGATCACTGGTTTTAGTCCTGGTTTAGACCTGCTTTAGTCCTACTTTAGTCCTAGTTTAGTCCTGGAATGGATTAATCCTGGTTTTAGTCCTGGTGTTAGTTCTGGTTTAGTCCTGGTTTAGACCTGGTTTAAGTTCTGGTTTTAGTTCTGGTTTAGTCCTGGTTTAGTTCTGGTTTAGTCCTGGTTTAGTCCTGGTTTAGACCTGGTTTAGTCCTGGTTTAGTCCTGGTTTAGACCTGGTTTAGTCCTGGTTTAGTCCTGGACTGGATTAGTCCTGGTTTTAGTCTTGGTGTTAGTTCTGGTTTAGAGGCGCACAGGAGGAAGCGCGGTTTACGCCGCGTAGGCGAGAAAACACGATCCACACGCGGCTCACGGGAGGACAGCGGTGTCCAGCGCAGTAACTACGGAAGGAAACGTGGTCCGCGCGTTCTCAGGTTAATGACGATGATGAAGGTGTGTGTTTGTGTGTGTTTGTGTATAGGACAGTAGTGCAGACATGAGCCTATGCAGGTTGTTTTCACCAGTGACGTTTAAGTTGTAGGCGATATTAATATTTGTTATTTTCTTTTATATTTCACGTCGGGAGAATAATTTCCAAGACACGAATGTGTTTTTACCTGTGCACTGCTGACTCTGTTCTACTGGCTCTTCGACCTCGTCCATTGTGCGACTGACGCCGCCAACGTTAACATGATGTTTACATCGCTCTTACTGCGCGCGTTTTGTGTGGGTTTCCGGCAATGAGTGGAATTACCGAAATAAAAAAAATTTATAAATGTGTTTTTTGTGTGTGTGTGTTGTTGTTGTTGTCCCAACAACACATAAAAACAGGTTTTATAATAAAGCAACTCGCATACAGAAACACTAAAGTTAGAGATTAAAAATGAGATTAACGCGATTAAAAAACATAACGCGCTAAATATGACTGTAATTAATTAATCGCAATTAACGCGATAATTTGACACCCCTAATTAAAATTAAACAGAAAGAAAAACAAAACTATACTAAAGACAAAACTGAAAAATACACAGCTTCTCAGGAGTTAAAATGAGACACGAGGGATGAAAACACGTCCAAACTCACATCACAGTTTAAGGTTTTTAAATCATAATATATTTGTTTTATAAATGTTGCTTTTGGGAGACTTAAAGTGTTTAATGTGGGTGGAGAGAGAGGACAGTATGTGGCTAAAGGGCACAACAAAAACAGGACTAAACCAGGACTAAACTAGGAGTAAAAAGGGACTGAAACGTTCACAATGAGCAGGGAAAGTGTGTGGCCCCAAAGCACAACAAAACCAGGGCTAAACCAGGACTAAACCAGGACTAAAATAGGGCTAAACCAGAACTAAAACAGGGCTAAACCAGGACTAAACCAGAACTAAACCAGGACTAAACCAAGGCTAACCCAGAACTAAAATAGGACTGAACCAAGGGCTAAACCAGGGATAAACTAGGACTAAACCAGAACTAAAACAAGACTAAACCAGGGCCAAACCAAAACTAAAGGGCTAAAACAGCACTAAACCAGGTTAAACTAGAACTAAACCAAAAATAAAACAGGCCTAATCCAGGACTAAACCAGAACTAAACCAGGACTAAAACAGGACTAAATCAGGACTGTACTCTACCCTTCACCAACCCCTCTTCCTCCTCTCCCTCTCTCATTCATATTGATCAGTGCCGTTTGTGCATCAGGTTTAATCCCATTTCCTGCCTAGGTGTGAGAGAACGAGACTCACGGGGATTTCTTCTGACACTGATCTAAATATGACACATCTGAACAGCCTCTGTGTCAGATGCCCTCCCAAAACTGTTGGTTTTCCCTTGATCATTTCTATCAGTGACAAGCTCCATTCTCCAGGAGGACAAGATGGCATCTGACACACAGGGGCAAACTGGTTTGGTCCTTCTTTAGTCCTGTTTATGTCCTGGTTCAGACTTGTTGAGTCCTGTACAGCGCCCCCTACAGCTGCTTTTCTGTAAACTCATCGCTCTGCTCAGATGTTATTTTTGGAGCGGTTCCTCTTTCCTCGTGTGGAGCATCTGGACCATGAGCTCATGTCTGCGGTCTGCTCCTGTCTCCACTCACACTAATGAAAACCAGACCAGGACTAAACTAGAATTAAACAGGACTAAACCAAGACTAAACCAGGAGTGAAGCAGGATTGAACCAGAGCTAAACAAGGGGTGAACTAGGACAAAACCAAGATTAAACCAGGATGAAAAAAGGACTAAAACAGTACTAAACTAGGACTGTACCAGGACTAAAACAGGACTAAATCAGGACTAAACCAGGACTAAACCAGGGCTGAACCAGAACTGAACCAGGACTGAAACATTACTGAAGCACAGCTTCTTCTTCAATTTCAGACAAAACAGAAAGATGAAACCAGAGCTCACGTTCAGATCCTGGAGTCTCCTCCTCCTGGTAACTCCATAGTCCTGAGGGTCACAAACTACTCCACATCCTCCAGAACTACAGCTCTCTCTGAGGGTAAGACAGTCTCTCTCCTCTCTTCTCTCTGTCCCTCTGTCCTCTCTTTGTCTGCTCTCTGTCCTTCCCTCTCTCCTCCGCTGTTTCTGTCTCTGAGTCTGAGTCCCTTTGTCTGAGCTGTGGGAAAAATGTTCCAGAGAAACAAAAGACAAAAGAATCACATCAGCAGGAGCAGGTTTGCTTCTCCTTCCTCTTCCAGATCTCCTCCTGAACCTGCTGCTCTAATCCTTCTCTCCCTGACCTCCTCTTCAGATGTGCTCCTCTCCTCCTCACTCTGACCCTAACCCAGTGCTCCTCACACCTCCTCACACCTTCTTTTCTAACCCTCCTCGCTCAGGCTCCTCCAAACCTCCTCCTGAACCTGCTCCTCTAAACCTTTCTCTCTGACCTCCTGTCCCTCAGAGCTGTGGGAACCTGTCTCAGACTCACTGTTTAAATATAGAAACTCTCCAACATCAGACTGAGATAAAAACAAGTGTGAGAGGAAGTAAAAGCCAGACAGGACTAAATCAGGACTAAAACAGGACTAAAACAGGACTGAACCAGAGCTGAACCAGGACTGAACCAGGGCTGAACCAGGGCTGAACTATTTCTAACTCTTGTCTAAACCAGGTCTAAACAAGGACTAAACCAGTATGAACCAGGTTTGATCCAGGTCTAAATGGACTAAAGTGACTAAGTCAGGACTAAACCTGGACTAAACCAGGGCTGAACCAGGATTGAACTGGTTCTAACTCATGATGAAACCAGGTCTAAACCAGGACTAAACCAGGACTGAACTAGGACTGAACCAGAACTAAATGGAATAAATAGATTATTTCAGATCTAAACCAGGATTAAACCAGGAATGCACCAGGTCTAAATCAGGTTTAAACCAGTTCTAAACCAGTACAAGTCCTTCAGGGTCACATCTCCACACACTAAACTCTGCTGAGAGGTTAAATTTAGATTCAGTCTCATCTGATAACAAACTGATACAGCTCAGAATAGGACCAGGACAAAACCAGAACAAAACCAGGATTAAACAGGATTAAACTAGGATTAAACCAAGACTAGACCAGCACTAAACCAGGACTGAACCAAGACTTCGACATATTCATATATGACACATTCTGCATAAAAAGTCCAGAACAGTGAAGGCTTTTGTATCACACAAATGTATTTTTCACCCCCTCTCTCTCTCCCCTTACGATCTCTCTATCCTCCTCTCCACTGTCTCTCCCTCTCTCCTCAGTTTGACAGCTATAGTATGAAAATGTCGTGTCATTTGTATTCCTCCTCTCCCTCCTCTCTCCTTTCCTTTCTTCTTATTTCCCCCCTCCTTCTCTCTTTCAGTGTCTCTCTTCCTCTTCTCTCCTCCTTTCTTCTCCTCTCCTTCCGTTGCTCTCCCCTTTCAGTGTCCCCTCCTTCTCTCTCTGCCCCCCCCTTTTTTCTCTCTCTTGTTGTTTTTTGCACTCCTCCTTTACTCCTCTCTCCTCCCCTCCTCCTCTCTCTCCCCTCTCCCCTCTGTTTGATTGACACCTCTCTGCTCTCGTCGTTCATTCCTGGATTGCTCTGACCTTTTTGACATAAAGCCCTTTCACATTAAAAGCCTGTGTCCCTTAGACCTGTCCCTCAAATGCTTTTATTCTGAAAAACTGACACACTTTAAGAATCCTCTTGAACTTTAGACTAAAAAAATACACTTTTGCACTTTTAAATCTTTTATTGTCGCATTTATCTAAGAAACAAGGACCAAACTGTGTCAGATGCCCACCCATCCTCTAAAATGCCATTAAAAGTGTATTAATAAAACAAAAACTAAACAAAAAAAGCATTATGCTGTTACCAATTACAGTCTTTGTGGGTCACTTGGAGAACATACCTGAGACAGAAACAATCCACCTCCAGAAATGAAAGGCCAAATGTAGTCCTGGTCTGATCCTGGGTCTAAACCTGGTCTAATCCTGGTCCTGGCCTGGTACTGGGTCTGCCTTAATCCTGCTCCTCAGTCCTGATACACAGTTAGGTTTAATCCTGGTATAGTCCACATCCTGGTTCTTGGTTTTGTCTGGGTCTCATCTGGTTCTTAGACTGATACTAGTCTAACCCTGGTCTAGTCCTGGTGTAGTCCCAGTCCTGCTCTGGTCTGGCCTGTGGTGAGTAAAAGGAGCTGTTTGTGGAGTTAATAATAGATGAGACACATGGTTAATGTCAGACTGTCATTTACCTGAGAACACCTGAGACGCAACAGGAGGGGAGGGGGGAGGAGAGAGTGAGGGGGGGAGGAGAAAAAGGAGAAGAGAAAAAAAGAGAGGGAGGAGACCGTCATTTCCCTGAGAACAAATGAGAGGACAAATGAGAGGGGGAGGAGGGAGGAGCAAAGAGAAATGACAGAGGGGGCAGAATGGAGAGCACGGCAGAGAGAGAAAGAAGAGAAGTAGACAGAAAAAGAGAAGTAAAGAGGGGAGGGAGGAGAGAGAGCGATAGTCTAGTGTGAACGCAGCAGACTAAACTGAAAACTCCATCCAATATACAGAGACAGTTTATGCACAAAGATAGTATTTTTCTGACAGTTTGAAACTTCATTTATCTAAATAAAGATGTTGTAATTTATTCTCATTTCTCTGATTATAACTATTGTGTAATTTAAACATGTTTTTGCCTTTGTTTATATTATTGTTGCTAGGTAACAGTTATAAAATGACCTCTATGTACTGTAAGTCACATCTGCTAATTATAAACTTCACCAGAATGACAAAATTAGAAAAGACTTGGTAAGATCTCTAGTGAAATGTTAAATCTAGTGATGTTGACTGTTTTTGGAATTAGTCTAACCTGTAATGTGCACTTTAAAAGAGTTGTGTCATTTATTTTTACAGTCATGTGTTACACTCACTTTAAATGAGACAGTCTCTGTGTAGGACGTGTTTAAATGAGCTCAGAGACTTGTGAAACTGTAGGAAACAAAACCACAACAAACTGTTAACGCACAACACACACAGATACAAGGGGAGCAGGTCTGAGTGGAGTCCTGGATCAGTCCTAGTTCAGTCCTGATGTAGTCCTGGTTTAGTCCTGGTGTAGTCCTTGTTCAGTCCAGGTTTAGTCCTGGTCTGTCCTGGTTCAGTCCTGATGTAGTCCTGGTGAAGTCCTGGTTCAGTCCTGGTTTAGTTCTGATTTAGTTCTGGTTTAGTTCTGGTTTAGTCCTCATTCAGTCCTTGTTTAGTCCTGGTTTAGCCCTGTTTTAGTCCTTGTTTAGTCCTGGTTCAGTCCTGGTTTAGTCCTGGTTTAGTTCTGATTCAGTTCTGGTTTAGTCCTGGTTCAGTCCTGGTTCAATACTGGTTCAGTCCTGGTTTTGTTATGGTTTAGTCCTGGTTTTGTCCTGGTTTAGTCCTGGTGTCATCCTGGTTTAGTCTTGGTTTAGTCCTGGTTCAGTACTGGTTTAGTCCTGGTTTTAGTCCTGTTTTAGTCCTTGTTCAGTCCTGGTGTAGTCCTGGTTCAGTCCTGGTTTAGTTCTGATTCAGTTCTGGTTTAGTCCTGGTTTAGTCCTGGTTCAATCCTGGTTCAGTCCTGATTTTGTTACGGTTTAGTCCTGGTTTTGCCCTGGTTTAGTCCTGGTTTAGTCCTGTTTTAGTCCTTGTTTAGTCCTGGTTCAGTACTGGTTCAGTCCTTGTTTAGTCCTGGTTTTGTCCTGGTTTAGTCCTGGTGTCATCCTGGTTTAGTCTTGGTTTAGTCCTGGTTCAGTACTGGTTCAATCCTGGTTTAGTCCTGGTTTAGTCCTGTTTTAGTCCTTGTTCAGTCCTGGTGTAGTCCTGGTTCATTCCTGGTTTAGTTCTGATTCAGTTCTGGTTTAGTCCTGGTTCAGTCCTGGTTCAATCCTGGTTAAGTCCTGATTTTGTTACCGTTTAGTCGTGGTTTTGCCCTGGTTTAGTCCTGGTTTAGTCCTGGTTTAGTCCTACACAGTAGACAAACACAGCCAGTCAAAACACAGTTTGGACACATTCTTTCTTGTATTTTTCTTCCTTATTTCTATAATTATTTTCTGTGTAGATTCCCACTGAAGCATCACAACCAGGAATGACACATATGGAATGTAGTGAACAAAAATAAACTCAAAAACAGTTTCAGATTTTTATAACTTTTTGCTTTGATCAAGGCTTTGCATTTTTTGGCTTTCGTGACCCTTTGCTTTGGCACAGCCGTGAAGAGAAAACCATTTCAGGAGACTTCATGATGGAGCTCACTGAGAGAAGGTCAAGGGTCCACAAAGCAAAGGGTGGAGATATTTAGTAGAGTTATTTAACTGTTTTATCTCCATCATATGTCTAATGTGTGCTGAAATGTAGAACGTGGAAAACCTAAAGAAAAATACACTGAAGGAGAAGGTGTGCCCAAACTTTTAACTGGTGCCATATATAACTGGACTCAGATTAAATGACGTCAGTTCAACATCTGGAGTCTCACAGCTGAAGGACATTACACTGCACACTACCTCCTAGCTCCTACCTCCTAGCTCCTCTCTCCTCATCTTTTCCTCTCCTCGCTCTTCATCTCTTCTCTCCTCATCTTCTCTCTCCTTGTCTCCTCTCTCACCTCTCTCCTCCTCTCCTGGTCTCCGCTCCCCTTGTCTCCTCGTCCTCTCCTGGTCTCCTCATATGTTAGTGATTACAGAGGGAGGGGTCACTACTATTTTTGTTCAGACTTTAAATGCCCTGCTCCCCTTCTCCCCTCCTACCTCCATCGCCCCTCTTCTTCCCTCCCTCCTCTCCTACTCTCCTTTTCTATCCCTCTTTCTCCTCTCCTCTCATCTGTTCTTTATTACTGAGGGAGGGACATTTTATTTGAGTTAACTTCTGTTTATTTTCTGTCCATCAGGGACACGTGTGAGAGAGACCCAGTTTAGACTTCAAATCCGGGTCAGAACCAGGTCTGAACCAGGTCTGAACCAGGTCTGAACCAGGTCTGAACTAGGTCTGAACCAGGTCTGAACCAGGTCTGAACCAGGTCTGAACCAGGTCTGAACTAGGTCTGAACCAGGTCTGAAAGGTCTGAACTAGGTCTGAACCAGGTCTGAACTAGGTCTGAACCAGGTCTGAACTAGGTCTGAACTAGGTCTGAACTAGGTCTGAACCAGGTCTGAACTAGGTCTGAACCAGGTCTGAACCAGGTCTGAACTATGTCTGAACCAGGTCTGAACCAGGTCTGAACTAGGTCTGAACTAGGTCTGAACCAGGTCTGAACCAGGTCTGAACTAGGTCTGAACCAGGTCTGAACCAGGTCTGAACCAGGTCTGAACCAGGTCTGAACTAGGTCTGAACTAGGTCTGAACCAGGTCTGAACTAGGTCTGAACCAGAACTAAGCCAGGTCTAAACCAGGTCTTTACCAGGACTAAACCCAGTCTTAACCCAGTCCCCAGTTTACTGCAGATTTCAGTGCGTCACTCTGACGTTGGTATTTTATTTTTATTGACGTGGAATTCCTCTGTCACAACATGCACGTATGAGTGTGCATGTGAAACAAGAGTGCATGTGTGACGAAAGTGCACGTGGGAGGGTCCCTACAGTGGCCTCTAAGAGACATAAATCAGTGCTTCATTTGATAACTGGAAACAACCTCCTGTGTGTCAGATGCCCTCCCATCCTCCCGTGTCTCTATTTCTCAAATGTCCTCTCACCCTCCTGTATTCCTGTATGCCAGATGCCCTTCCTGTTCATTCCAAACCTTGAGTGCCTGTGTTTGTGAAATGAGACAGAAAACTGGGAACTTGACCAAGATCCTGGTCCAAGATTCACATCAGGACCAGATCAAGTCCAGGTCTAATCCAGGTTTTTGGGTTTAAAGCCACGTCTTTCAGAACAGACTTAAACTATAGTTTATTCGATAGTTTATGAAGTCCTGGTTCAGTCCTGGTTTAGTCCTTGTTTAGTCCTCATTCAGAACTGGTTTAGGTCTGGATTAGACCTGGTTTAGTTCTGGTTCAGATTCCTCAGTTCCAGCTGTTCTTCTGCTCTGCTGCAGCTGTGACCTCTCATGACCTCTGTGTGATGCACTGTGACCCTGACATGTGCCTGGGGTCAGAGGGCAAGGATCACAGTGGGGCACGTGTTTGGTCTGGTCTTTGGTCTGGACTTTGGGTTAGACCTGGATTAGTTCCAGTGCTCAGGGTCACATAGATCTGATCTGTGACATGTTCAGAGTTTAACCTGACACACAGATGTTTAATCCTGGTTTGTCCTGATTTAGTTCTGGTTTAGTCCTGGACCTGGTTCAGTCCTGGTCTGTGGGCAGATGGTTCTAGGTGTGGTTGGTTCTTTATGTCTTGTCTTTCTCTCTCCTCTCCCTCCTCTGGTTTATTTTTATGAGACTTTTTCATCTTTATCTTTATGAGAGGGGAGGATCCTGTGTGTGTGTGTTTGTGTGTTTGTGTGTGCATGAATGTGTGTGTGTGTGTGTTTGTGTGCGTTGGGGAACACTGGTGACACTACACGTCATGTAGAGATAGATATAAAAATACTCAATTGTTGCCACTTAAAACCACAAGTTCCAACTCCCGAATAATAATAACAGTGATGTGAGTCACTGTTCCACACTGGTTCACCTGATTTATGCCTATTCAGCACTTTGGTCAAGTGTGGGTGTTTTTCATGTGCTGTAGAAATAAAGATCTACATGTTGTTAGGGCCAGAGTTGGAGAAGCCAGAAGATTATAGATACACATCATGTACAAAAGTCACATTAAAAGCAGTAGAGAAGGAGTGATCTCATGAGATGTTCAAAGATTTAAGCTTCAAGCCTGACTGGCTTCAAAAAGTAGTTTTGAGAAAGTCCAGTAGAACAGACAGAGACCAGTTCATGTTTGTTCACAGCAGCCAATTCCAACCAAAGTACCATAGGAATCAGGTTAAAGATGCTGCAGGACCCTGAGGTGCCTTGTGACCTTTGATCTTTGACCTTTGCTCACCACAAGGCTAAGCAGGCTGTCTGTATTTAATGTCCTCCATCTCAGCATGTGGATTAATGATTGTTATTGGCAGCATAAAGCTGTTATTATTTAGAAAAATAATATTATAATGAATATAAAAGACAACATTGATAAATATTTAA